CCTATCTCAGGTTATTGAGTGTCCTGCTTAGTGACAAATATATACAGCAGCTAAGTAGGGCACAGCTCTCCAGTTCACCCTGCCTGAGCCCAGATCATTCTCCCTGCTGCTTTTGGATGAGCTGTGAATTACTGATGGCATCAGCAGAGCATATTGGGGAGGCACTGGCACAGGGTGCCCAGAGAAGCTGTGGCTGCCCCATCCCTGGCAGTATTCAAGGCCAGGTTGGAGCAAGCTGCTCCAGTGGAAGGTATCCCTGCCCATGGCAGAGGGTTGGAACTGGATGAGCTTTAAGGTCCCTTCCAACCCAAACCAGGCTGGGATTCCATGACTCAAATACTGGTGCTGGAGGTTTGATCCCTTAAGACAGCTCAAGCAGTCTGAGAGCGTGTAATGCTGGAACCAGCCCCACCACCCTGAGCACCCAGCTCCAGCAGCACAGGACTGTAGAGGTCGAGTCCTCTTACACGAAGTGGGAGCAGCACTTCAAGAAGCTCTGGAATCAAGGCATGCTCTTCAGTGGAAGAGAAGCCTTAGGCAGCATCTTTGCAGTAAGTCTCCTGGGTTTACAAGAAACACAATAGTGTCCTGTCCTTTGGATTCAATTTAATGGGCTCAGGCAGCATTAACTGGCATCTTGAGGATAAAGAACAGTTGTCAGCCCAGACTCGGGCTCTCATGTTGAGCAAGGATTATTTTATTATGATTAATATTCTTATTTCTTATTATTGCTAATTACTGTCTGAAGCTGGGTGCTGGGGAACCTACAGTAATGCCTCCATCAGTGCTCCAGATGATCCCGGATACTGGGAGAGGCCTTGTCAGAGCTCATCAGGTTTTGCAGATGACTGGTTCCACAGCAGCCAGAGGTGCGTGGCAATGGCACAGACAGGCAGGGAAACCTTCTTGCAGGCTAATCCCCCTCCATCCTTCTGTTTGCATTCGTGACCTCTTTTATTCATGACTCTTGGGCAGCAAAACGCTTCCTCCCAAATAAACACTCGTGAAAAACAAACATGTCCTAATTACTCGTGCAAATATTCGCCTCTGAATATGTATGCAAATGCTTCTATCCCAAACTCTATGAATATGTATTTTCATGAGAAAACACAGAAAGGGGAAAAACCTGAGTGTGTTTGGTTGGCTTAGTAAGGGAGCAGAAAGGGAGCTGTGCATTTCCTCTGGCTGTGGCTAAGGCTGCGTTCACAAGTACCCGGTTGAAAATATACAATCCAATCCCAAATACTGCGTCCCATAAACCTTAAATTCAGTCTGACAAAGTGATTGTGCACATCTGGAGTGAAATCTGTGCAGACTTTTACTTGGGAAAGTAGGAGGATGATTAGTTTTCCACAGTGAAATCATCCCAAATCCATTTTCAGGGCTAGAGGGAATAGTGCACCCATCCAAGCCATGAGCTCACAGTTTCTCCAGGAGAATGATGTGGCAAATGGCAGCAAAGTCTTTACCAAAGTCCAGGTAGAAACAAACCATCCACAGCCCTCCCCTCAACCAGGTCTTCACTTTTGTTCAAGTCACCCTTGAAAACCTATTTGAGTTTCTTTCATTTTTCCTTTGGAGATCATGGGTGTGTTTGTCCAAACATCTGTGGGAGCTGGTTAACAGGATCAGGCTAGCATTAGACTAGTCCAGACAAGGAGAGGATAATCTTTTCCAGCCAAACAATAGCAATAAGATTAATGCATAAAGGCATAAATCCTCCTGTTCAACTCCATTAATCACCCAGATGTGCTACCTCCCCAAAGCCAGGCAGTTGCACTGTCACCGTTGGCTTGTTCCCTGCTGAAAACACAGCCCCAGTGTTAGCTGCAGAAAGCTGATCATCTCATGGAAGGGAATGGTTCAAGTTACTCAATTCCGATGCCACTGAGGAAAGGCAGGAGTTAGACACATCCAGAGTCATTTGCAGTTGCTGTTTGGGGCACAGTAACACAGGAGGGAGATCCTGGGTGTGCCATCAAGCTAAGATAGAGCAGAGCAGAGCTCAGCTCTGTGACTCTCTGGGTCTAGTGAAACCATACTTGCCTGCTTCTTCAGCAAAGAAAGGTGTTTGCCATAAGCTCCTGTCAGGTACTGAGTTCCCATCTCTAACTTGAAAAGTACAAGAATTACATATGTTTCAGACCTTCATTTCTCTATGTAAAAAGCCAAAAGCTTCCAATGTTATATGAAGAAAGACAAGAGACAGAGACACAATGGAATCTTCTCTTTGGGACATCAGGGTTATCATTTTTCCAATGGCAAAAATAAGATAAACCCACAATTTATGTTGCTGACTCTGCATCTCATCTCTAAAAGTGTCAGCCCATCACTTTGCCAGCTCAAGAACCAGGACGTGTTGACATTGCAGCCCACATGAGCAGCACCACAGGGAGAATCGCCTCTGAGTTCCTGGGGATCATTGAGGAGCTATACCCAGACTGCAGCTTGCTCAGGCCTTCCTGCCCACTTGAAATCGCTGGTTTGGGCTTTAAAAAGAGGAAACAGGCTGGAATGCTTTGATTTTTCTCCTCTAGACTGCAAACCACATTGTGCACTAAGTCATTTTCGCAATAGATCAGACTGGGGGGTATTTTCCAAACCCTCTGACAAGACCAGCTTTAAAAAGCAAGCAAATGACGTCCCCACAGATTGACTGAGGATAAAGCATGCACGAGAATTCATTCACCACCCCCCCGATGATAACACAGCGGTGATCAGAGCTCTCAGAGGCAGCCGTGGGCAAACGGTGACTCTTTAATGACGAGCATCCATTTAATTTGATAGCTGGGAATAATTGAGTGTTCCAGGCTCGGCTCATTGCAGGGGTTTGAGCAAACCTAATTGAAAGGGACATGTGTTCTTTCCTTCGTACTCTGCAGCTCCTGATCAGCCTCCCGGCTGCAGCATTTGGACCTGGTGCTGGCTCTTGGGGAGGACAGAACAGACCCCGACCCAAGCGGGGATGGAGCTCAGGCTCAGCGAGAGCGCAAGGGGATGCGGTCCCAGCGCTCGGCCGCTGATGTGAAGGGGCGCAGCGACATCCCGCGTCCTTCGGAGGGAGGAAAGGCTCCGAGCTCATGCTGAGCCTCACCCGGCTGCGGGAGGAGGGGGAGGTTGATCCGGCCCGGCTTATGCGGGACTTCGTTGTGATCAGATGTTCATCACTGGCTGCTCCGGCTTCATGTCCTCCTGTGGTGGGATCTTGCCGGTAGATCACAACGGGGTTCCTGAGCTCTGCTGCCCACCAGCAGTAACTGCAGCACTGGTTAGGTGCCCCATGCAACCTAGACATGGTTATATTCAGCCTGCAGTAGGCTCTATAGAAAGCATATAGCTCACCAGATAAGAACCATGAGGGCAAGAGATGGGGCTGGGCATGGAGGATGGCAGGCTTGAACCCCATTAGTGTCCGTGCTGCTTTTCCTTGGTGCTTTAAGATACTTTGCCCTGTCTGAATACTTCCATCTCCTCCTGATATTCACACTCCAGCACTATTCCTGTTCAGCTGATGGGTGGAATTCAGGCCATCTACAGCAGGACAGTGCACGTTGCAATCTGCATTTCAAAACCCACCTGGGGACTGATGTTTGCCTGGAAATGGGAAGACCAGGAGTCTGAAGTGGAACACCCACAAGGAAATGTATATTGCTCCCCCCAAAATCCCTCCATCATCCTGTTCTGCTGATAGGCAGGGTACACCACAAAACGACCACACACTGGCTGTATAACAGGCACAGTTTATTAAACAAGCACACTAAAGCGAATAAGCTCACTGGCACAAATTGGGTATATAGCTCTATGTATAGAGTAAATAAGTACAATAAAGCAAATCAGAGATACATATATATAAGTACAGAGGAAAATTAGCAATGTATCACATCATTATTGCATAGGCAGAACAGAGATTAAAAAGAAATACATCACCAGTCACCACCGAATCATCATCCAGGCCCACACTTGAGCTGGGAAGCCCCATTGCAGCCAATGCTGGGAGTCTCAGTTTCGGATTCGGCTGCAAGAGGCTCCTGCTTTTATACCCTTAGAAGCACAACGGGCTTTATGCCAGCTCTGTCATTGTTTGCTCGTGTGGACGTGTGGTTTCTCATGATCTCAGTGTTGCCCATGCCAAGAGCACTGGCCAGGCGCCCTGGTGCAGACAAGTAGGAAGGTCATAAAATAGCAGCATCCCTGTTTCCCTGCCTCATTCCCATAAACAGGCACCATGACCATACACATGCATACCCCACCGAATACACTGCGACAAAACCATACTGTGTTATGTGATTCAGCCATGAGAGGGAATCAGCTCTCAGGCAGGTTCACATCCGTTACACATCCTCATCTTTGTTATCCTTTAAGAAAGCAAAGCAAGGACTGGGCAAGCCTCAATGAATATAAAGCAATGCTGTTATAATAAGAAAGCTGGTTAAGAGCCTTTCAACATCAGCGTCTATCTTCTGTGGACATTTCCATGTATTAAAGGTTGAAAAATTAGGGAATTAAATAGAACTAAATCTGTAAATATGTAAATCTGTAAAATTAAGTCGTGAAAGCTTGGTCAGTTAAGAAAAGCGGGTGGAAAATGACATTACAAAGCATTCAGAATCCAATGGTAACTAGTTTGCATTTTGCCATGCCTATGCATTGTGTGAGCTAAAGCCAATATTCATTCCCATTTATCAGTTATTACCAAATGCAGCTTCTCCAAAGGTAATGCTTGCATCAGCAGTTGCAAAGAACATTGTATTTTCTAAGCTGAAGACTTTTACTCCTTCTCCTGCATTTCACATCCTGCATTTCCCAACACACCTGATGCTCTCCCATTTCTATCTTGCAAGGAAGCAGCAGGAGATGGGTAAATTTTGCCTTTCAGCTATGCAATAAGAGACCATTTCAAACATTTGGACATTTCCATGCTTTGAGGAATCATTGTTATGAGTGAAAACAGCCTTTGGAATGCAATCCTTACTTTCTCAATGAGCAAAGCACTTAATACACTGCTCCTCTACTTCTCAGTCACAGAGACCTTCAACTCTATAAGTCTACTGATGAAGTCCTCCATGTCCTTTGTACTGTCTGACTTGAGGTAGTAAGTCACCCTATCATTAGACAAATATAGGGTCTTCGAGTCGATTCTCTGTGCTGTGGCACTGCTGAGGTTGATGCTGCCACGGATAAGCTTGCCAATGTCATCTTTGTCCCTGCAGAGCAAAGGGGAGAGTGAAGAAGCTCCAGAAGCAAAGCCATTGCTGCTGTTTGTTGGGTGGGATTTTGAACGCATTCTTTGCTCTCCTGATGGCCATAGAAAGGTGGGGAGGGTACATGGGGACATGAGTGCCCCGTGGCCCTCAGCTTTCCCAACCACCTCCCTCCCTGCTCAGCTCCAACCCCACATCCATGCAACCCATGGGATCTGTGGGAAGCTTTGCCAGAGCTTCCTCATCTCCATCTCCCCCCTGGTGCCAAAAGCTATGAACAAAACCAACCTGCAGGTGCCTGCTAAAACCCCTGTTATCATCCAAGGTGTCTGCGTGGCTGCTCTGGAGCCTTTGCAACCACAAGACCCGAGTAACAAATAACATCCCCTTTGGTGGGACCTGCCTGGCTGGTGACTTACCAGTAATAGTTAAGCCATGTGCCCCGGAATTCAAAACAGCGATTCTGGTACCAAAATATCCAATTTGTCCATTTTCTGAAGTGGAAGATTTGCATGTCCATTGCAACACAGAGGGGACTGAAAGCGAGCTAAAGTGATAGCTCGAACCAAAAGTGAAAGCAGTATTTTCTTAAAGGGCCCTCCCCGGAGGTCTTGCATGTCTGAGGTGCTGAGTTATGGGTCACTCATGAGCATCACTCATGGAGCAATGCTGAGCATGGCCATGGAGCCACAGGGTCTCCAGGGGATGGATACCTGGTGCTTGGATTTGCTCACTCACTGATGCTCCCGAACTGACCCATTCAGGTTCGCGGACCGCGGCTCCTGCAGTGCCCTCTTGCGGCGCCGACCGGGAAAGGCCGGCGGTCACCTCCGGGGAGCTGGCTTGGGACCTTCGGGAGGTAGCGCTGCCCTTGCCATCCCCATGGCTCTGGCATCGCCCCTTTCTGACCCTCTCCGTCACCCCATCCCTTCCTCCCTTTCCCCCATCCCTCTCACCCTGTCCCTGTCCTCCCTCCATCACCCTCACCCCAAAACTCTTCCCTGTGAGGGTGCACAGGGTGCCCAGAGAAGCTGTGGCTGCCCCATCCCTGGCAGTGCTCAAGGCCAGGTTGGACACAGGGGCTTGGAGCGACCTGCTCTCTTGGAAGGCGTGTCTATGACCCCTGTTCCCCCCCTCCATCACTCAGAGGCATTTCTGTCCCTGCCTATCAGTGCCTGTGCCCCGGGCACCCACCTCACACCAATAGGATTCATCTGGAATAGCCTAGAGGAATTAATGGTGGAAAGGAGAGAAGCTGGGCTTAGGTATTAACGTGCAACATCATTTTTCCCAGAAAGTCTGTAACAAAATAATCCCATAAACCCAACAAGTGTCGGTGTTATTTATGTAATATCATTGCTGGCAAGAGGGCACAAATGCAAGCGGGTTTATGTAAAGCCCTGTGCTCCTGGGGCAGGGGATGCTCCCGAAGGCACCAAGGGATGAGGCTTCTGCTCTGCAACTTCCCTCTGAGCTTGTGCTGGAGATTGGGGTGTGTTTTCTCCCCCAAATCCATGCCTGAAACAGGTCAAGGACCCTCCAGCAGGACTTTGCTGCTGTCTCCGTAGTGTGTGAGCAGCCTGGTGACAGCATTCACTGGAGCTTTCTGGGGGTGACACAGGGCTCCTGTGCTGGGTGGGGCACAGGGGGGCCCACAGAACTAAAGCAGGATGCACAGCTGGTGTTGCAAAGGGTCCTGGCTGGTGGCATCCCGTTGAATCTGGAAGTGTGGGTACCAGCACTGGGTACCAGTACTGGGTCTGCAGTCTGGGGCACAGGGATGGGGCTCACCGCACGCAGCAGTGCAGCACTGGGGAGTGGGAGCATCTTGTAGGAGCTGCCAGAGGAGTCACCAAGTGACACGTTCCCTGCAGGGACATTGGCCAGAACCACAGCACAGGGGTTTGTGAGGATGCAGGAGGGGATGGAGGGATGCTCACACCCAGCAGAGGCAGCCCCACAAGTGTGTTACCCTGGCCATGAGGAATCACCATGGCACAGGACTCGGGGACCAGCTTTTATTCTCCTTCTTAATTCCTTTTCCTGAAATAGGCACCACTTCTCACCCCAGCCCATCCTTGGGAGCTGCTCTTAATCCTCAGGCCTCAGATGCACCATCCCTCTGTACAGTTTAACCACTCTCACTGCTCTTCCTCCTCAACAGGGGGGGTCCCCCACCCTGCTTGATGGAGGGGACCCCAACTGCCTTTCCCCCATCCAGAGTGTGATGTTCCCTGGGCACAAGCAGTATCCTGATTGCAGCTCAATGTGCATTGATCTGCAGGGTGGAGCTCTGAGACCTGGGATCTTGTCCTTGCTCTTCCATCAACTGCATCAGCCTTCCCCATTGGGCAGGAAAAGCAGGAATAAGCATGTGAATTGTAATGAATGTCGTGTTCCAGCTATAGATCCTGCAGGAACACAAAGCGTGATGAGGGTGCGGAGGAACCGTGGCATTGGAGTATTCGGAATCATTTTGGTCTTACCGGTTTAATGGAGTTGATTATGACTTGTTTTAAGGTCTTTCCCTGCAGTTTCTGCTCTAATCAGGTCAAAAGCTGATTTGCAAATAATCACCAGGAAAGGGGGGGAAATCGAGGGATTTAAACCCAAGCTGTGCATTTTATACTATTAATTGAAAGCCTGTGAGAGATAATGTGTCCCTTCTCCTGGCTGAGAGCTGTAAGCTGCTATTAGCAGCAAACTCCCTACCCGGCTTGGGAATCACCTCCTGGTTGGGATTACGGCTGTGCACGTATGGGTAAACCCCCAGCAGGCAGCAACTTAGTGAAAGGGCAGAAATCAGGGAGCATCAAGGAGATACAGGCTGCCCGAGCATCCATGAACACCACATCGGGTAGCACAAACCCCAAACTGTTTGAAAGCAGGGATTAATAAGTGAAGTCATGCTGGTAAGTGAAATGTTTCTCTGCCAGAGAGAAATGTGCAAGTTGGACTTTATTGTGAGCTCTGTGTGTGTCTGGCACCCTGCTGCACGCAGCTCCCTTCCCACATCCCTGGAAGAGGAAGAGGTCGATAATGAGAGAAATCCACTCCGCTATTAATTACATGATATTCCCAGGGCTTATTGGCTAAGCCCCATTGTAATCACCCTCTCTGTTGTATTTCAGCAGCACCTAAGGACACCGCATGTAGTGAATAAAACAGAGCTCAAAGTTGACTTCGGCACGGGCAGCGCGGTGCAGGCACAGCAGCAGCACCGGTGGGCACAAGAGGCGAGAAGCGAGGATCAGCACAACAGACCTGCTGTCTCCCACCAGGGTAGCGGCAGAACATTCATGAGTCAGTGAAACCCCCCCAAACCCAGTCTGAATCCAGTGGGGTTTTCCATTATAAATAAATGGGGGGGGGGGGCAGTTATGGTTTTCCAGCAGGAGGGAGGGATTCATGCAGCCTCCAGGGAAAAGTCACTGCAGAAGCTCAGCACAGCAAAGCGAGATCCCGTTCTGGTGGCTCGGCTGAGGGATGCTGCTAGCCCTGGGATGCTGAACGCTGCAGCTGCGTCCGGTGAGGAGCAGGCTCATAGAGGCCTTTGCCAGCTGAACCACTGCAATTCCCAGTCAGGAAGATGCTGTCAGGTCCAAGTCCTCCATCCTGAGGCCGGCTCAGGACTGCTGGGACAGCGATGGGGACAGCAATGCCAGGACCCCACACAAGCCTTCTGCCTGGGGGGGGATGCTTCATCCTGAGTCCACCCCGTTGTGCCTTCACACCCCTCTGGAGCCGACAGTGACAGGCTCCACTGCAGCGTGACATTGAGGGTGCCCAAGGACTCTTGCTGGAAGCACGGGGAGGCTTCAAGCATCACCGGCTGAATCCGTTGTCAAAGCAGTCCCAAAAATCCAGCTTGGTGGGAGGCAAACGGTGTCGGTGCCATCGTGAGGACCAGTCCCCTTCTGTTGTCTTCTGTTGTCTGCTCCAAGAAGGGTGCAGTCTGAAGGCAGAATCAGTGTCCAGGGACGGTGAAAGTGGGGTGACACCAAGCCTGCTTGATTCCCCCATTGAAGTCTGCACAGGGGCACGTGAAGGCTGCACCCAAGTCCCAGCGTGAGGCACAGTCCCACCAGTGTCCTGCTGCCACAGCATCTTGGGGACCCCTCCTGGCAGATGGGCTTGGATAGGGAAGGGGCCCTGCCCCATGGAGGCTGCCCTGAACCTGGAGGGAGGTGACCCCAGGCTGGGCTGGGGCTGCTGACAGCAAATTCCCCTACAAACACCCCCAGACCTGGCAAGATCCTCCAGGGTCCCCTGGAGTGCCCCAATCACATGGGGTCCCTTAAGGAACACTGCACCCTGCAGGGTCTCCCTGCATCAGACACCTGAGGACATTATTGAGGTCCCCAGACCCTGCTGAGACCCCCAAACCCATTGGGTCCCAGCCCGTCAGATTTCCCAGACCCTGCTGGGTCCCCCCACCCCACAGGGTCCCCCAGGACCCCCAAAACCCAGAGGTCGCCAACTCATCAGATTCCCCAAGACCCCCTAAAGGACCCCAGACCCTGCTGGGTCCCCCATACCCATCCATCCTGCAGGATCCCCCTGGGACCCCCAAACCCGTTGGGTCCCAGCCCATCAGATTCCCCAGACCCCGCTGGGTTCCCACACCCCACGGGGTCCCCCAGATCCTGTAGGGTCCCCCAACCCCAGAGGTCCCTGCGTCATCAGACTGCCCAGGACCCTCTAAAGGACCCCAGACCCTGCTGTGTCCCCCATACCCCTCCATCCTGCAGGATCCCCCTGGGACCCCCAAACCCATCAGATTCCCCAGACCCCGCTGGGTTCCCACACCCCACGGGGTCCCCCAGATCCTGTAGGGTCCCCCTGACACCCCCCAACCCCAGAGGTCCCTGTGTCATCAGACTGCCCAGGACCCTCTAAAGGACCCCAGACGCCCCCAACCCATCGCACCCCCTACGCCCCTCTAAGGACCCCCCCTCCCAGCACCCGTGTGCCCTAGGCGGGGCTGCGGGGCGCGGCGGGCAGGCGGCGGGCGGCAGCGGGGGGAGCGGCGGCCCCGCGGGTGCGGGCGGGGGCCCAGGGCACGCAGCTGCGGAGGGCGCGGGCGGCCGCCAGGAGCGCCCCGGGCCGGGGCCGGGGTCGGCGGCGGAGCCCCTTCTGCAGGCGCTGCGTGTGCGCAGCCAGCGCCAGCTGAGCCTGGGCCACGCCGGCCCCGAGCCGGCCCAGGGCCTCCGCGCGGGCGGCCAAGCGCAGCTCCGCGTGGCGCAGGGCGCAGTGCACCTGCAGCACCCGGCCCTCCAGCTCCGCCGCCGCCCGCCGCCGCCCCTCCGCCGCCACCAGCCGCCGCCGCGCCGCCGCCAGCTCCACCGACCCGGGGCTGCTGCTGCTGCCGCTGCCGGTGCTGCTGCTGCCGGTGGTGGTGGTGCCGGTGCCGGTGGTGCTGCTGCTGCCGCCGGTACCGCCGCGGTCGGGGCGCTGCTCGCTGCCCGCAGTCGGACCCGAGCTCGGATCCGCCGCCGCCGCCATGGGAACGGGATGGGGAGCGGGGCAGCGCCGCGGTGATGATATATACCCGGGGGCGGCGCCGGCTACGGGCGGCTCAGCCCCAACGGGGCGGCTCCGGCACCGGCAATGGAAGGGGGGGACGATGGGGACACGACCCCAACCGGTGCGGTTCCGTACAGGGGATGCGCGGGATCGGTATGGGTATGGCTCGGTATGGTACTGGCACTGTCAGGGGCCCGTGCTCGGTACAGCTCCTACAACGGCAAGGGGCTGGCACCATCACGGCCCCGGGCTCTATACGGCTTAGTACAGAGCTGGACCTCCCTCCGTACGGACTGGCACTGGCACGGCTGCAGGCTTCGTACGACCCAGTACAACACCAGCACCAGCACCGTCATGGATTCGGGCTCGGTATGACTCAGTACAGCACCGGCCCTGAGCTCGCTGTAGCCCGGTATGGCACAGCTTGGGTATTGACACCATCACAGCCCTAGGCTCAGTATAGCCTTGTATAGGACCATCCCACTGGCACCGGGAAACTGCTCTCCCTTAGGGGCATCACTGGGAAAGGCTGAGAGGATTATTGGGGGGTCACTGGGAAAGGCAGGGCTGGGAAGACTTAAGCTGGAGAGGCTTAGTGGGAAAGGCTGGGCAAGGAAGGAATACGGAGAGATTTACTGGGAAAGGTTGGGAGAGAGGCTGAACTGGGATGGGTTACTGGTTTCAAGCCTGCAGCCCCTGGGAGAAGCAGCTGAAGCAGCTCTCTGTGCTGGCTGGGGAATGCTGGTGGCCCAGCAGCCAGCATGGGGTAGGGAAAAGGGCAAGGGCAGCCCCTGTCCCTTCCCCAGCTGTGGCTGGGATGTCCCAGTGCTTGGGGCTCAGGAGAGGTAGCACCAGGATGGCATGTCCTTGGTTGCATGATTGTCACAGCAACGCCGTTGCCGATGTCATTATCGTTTAAGACAGTGTTAATAGAGCTGGGAGTGGGAGGGAGGTGGAGCAGGAGGGTGCTGCTGTCACCTTGCTCCCCGGAGGAGCCTGGTTTTCAGGGTTCCTCCTGTGGGGATGTCACGCTCAGTGGCTGCGTATTCACATAGGGTGCGTGGGGTAACGTCTGCTTGTACCCGCATCAGAGCGGCAGAGAGGATAAAAGAGATGATGGGAACCAGGTGCCAAAGTCTCATCCCACCCCCAGACAGAAGGAAAAGCAAAAAACCCACCCCAGCCTAAAGCTGTTCCCGGCAGAGCCACGTCCAGGCCTGCGATGGATGAACACCCCCGTCCCACAGGAGCTGATGGCACCTTTGTTTTCCTTACCTTATGAGGTTAAAAACCAACCCATCCCTTGTGCTTTGTGTTGCATTCGTGCTCTTGCCAGCGCTGCCACGCGTCTGCCAGACACCGGAGCAGCGTCAGAGGCTGCTGCGTCACCGCTCCCGGCCCCCGCTGCCAGCTTGTCCCTTCCCTGCCCGTCCACCACCTCCCACCGCATCTCCCCTGCTCCACGGCCACGACATCTGCTCTCCAGGTTGCATTTCAGGCTGTAAGAGAGCTGGAGTCCCGGCTGAACCATCTTCATGTATCCAATGCAGATGCTGCTGTAAAGTGAGGTTGATGCTGCATCATCACAGGTTCAGGGTCAAAGCCCTGCTCTTGCTCCCCCTGCCTCCAACCCAAAGAAACGGTGGGGACAGGCAGGTACCAAAGAGAACATTCTCCTCTCTGATTTTTTTCCTCTGTTTCAGTGGAACCTGGACCCCCAAGAGCACCCCAAGGGGGGAAAGGGCTGGGGTCTGTCTTGCAGTGAACTTCTCCCACTCCCCCAAAGCGAAATCTCAGAATCACTGAGCTTGGAGCGACCTCATCACCTTTCCAGCTCCCATCCCTGGTCCAGAGCGAGAAAAGGACATGGTGATAGGGAGCAGTTATGCCTGGGAATGAATGTCAGAGATCAGACGAGGCCAGATGGGCTGGGAATGTCGGGCAGGAAGGCTGGGGTGTTGCTGAGGCCTCCACAATGACCGTGTCTCCAGGCTGTCAGTAGCACATCCTGCTTGATGAACAGAGGCCAGTAAAGGCAAATCAGAGAGAACTGCCCATGCCCTCCAGGGTAAGTCATAACCCAAGTCCCTCCCGTGCTGCTGCGGGCCCTGCCTGAGCTGACGAGCTATTAATGATTTAGCAACGGAGTCTGAAATTAGCAGTGCTCAGAATAAACCTCTTTGATGCAAAGCTCAATTGAGAGCATTGTTCTCTCTCCCCTAGCAGCGACCCTGCGCTCCCTGCAGCTGCATATGGAGGCACCGGTAACAGGGATGGGGCACCAAGCTGTGCCCCACAGCCAGCCCAGCATCAGTTGCTAGTCCTCTGGGGTCCATGAGGAGAAGGACTTGAAGCCCTGAGGAGAAACAAATGAATCCAGAGGAGGCCATGGGGATGCTGCGAGGGCTGGAGCAGCTCTGCTCTGGAGCCAGGCTGAGAGAGCTGGGCTGGGGCAGCCTGGCGAAGAGAAGGCTCCTGAAGGGGAGACCTTAGAGGAGCTCCAGTGCATAGAGGGGCTGCAGGAAACCTGGAGAGGGGCTTGGGATAAGGGATGCAGGGACAGGACAAGGGGAATGGCTTGAACCTGCCCGAGGGGAGACTGAGCTGAGCTCTTAGGCAGAAGCTCTTCCCTGTGAGGGTGCTGAGGCGCTGGCACAGGGTGCCCAGAGAAGCTGTGGCTGCCCCATCCCTGGCAGTGCTCAAGGCCAGGTTGGACACAGGGCTTGGAGCAAGCTGCTCCAGTGGAAGGGGTCCCTGCCCGTGGCTGGGGTTGGAGCTGGAGGAGCTTTAAGGTCCCTTTAACCTAAACCATTCTACAAATTCCCCAGGGATGTGGAGCCAGCCCCTCCTCTGCTGTGCCCTGCCCCAGGTGAGGGCAGCCCTGCAGGAGGATGTAGTTGAGGGCTGTGCAATAGCCTCTGATTTTGAGCTTCTTTAAAACCCTGCATTGGGATCTGCTCCAGAAAAGCAAAGCCTTATTATAGGAAGTAAATCATTAATATTAGTGCCATCTCTCCCAGTGTCTCTGCAAGCTTTCCCTCAGGTGTCCCAGTTCCCAGGCACTGCTCTCTCATCCTGCCCCAGTTTAAGGGAAGGAATCCTCCACCAGGTTTTCAGGTTTAAGCCCCAGGACTTCTGTGTTGACCCAGCTCCATCCTGGTCGCTCTGGAACACAGCAGCAGCTCAGCCAGGAGGTGACACAGGAGCTGAGGGGCATTGAGCAGCATGGTGCTGGGCTCAGGGGGACGCAGTGTGCTGCCCAGCTCATCTGGATGTGCCAAGCTCAATGGGGCAGCACCGGGAGAGGTTTCATAGCCGGGATCTGTGCTGAAGGCACCTGGCACAGGAGATGATGGATTTCCAAGCAGTGCTTTGGGTTGTACACAGATGAAAACCTGGCCAGGGAAATGACACCGGCTGCATGTAAGTACAGCGTTCCCGTGCCAGAGGCTTAAGTACATAACTGTGTTCTTCCTGCCCTTCAGAGAAGGAATGAGCTGCTTGGCACTGACACCATCCCTCAAACAGATTTCTCTCTCTTCTCTTTCCTCTTGGAAACTGGCTGATGCTCCTGAGCCCAGCACCCCTGCTCCGGCTGCAGCCTCCTTCCCTGCCTGCATCCCCTCCTGGTTTCCTTCCTTCCCTCCAACCCTCCAGGGAAGGATCCGACCCCCCCAGGAGTGAATCATCAGCTCTGTGGTGAGAACCACTGAGTCACCAAGCGGCAGCAAACAGGACGGGCTGAGCTCTCCCGGAGCACTGGGCATCGCTGCAGCTTGTGCTTCCCATATGGCACTGCTGTCCCCAGGGGAACTTCTCCCTGCAGGAGAAGGGATGGATGACGTTGCTTTACAGGGTGCTGAGCATGGAGGATGAAATCACCCCAGATGAGGGGTGCAGGCCCCTCCATGGCTGTGGCCAGGCTGGAGAGCAAGGCTGGGGGGGTGGCCAGAGGCTTTAGGGGTGTCAATGCACTTGAGCATGGCCTGGATGAAGGTTCATCTGGGATGGACATGCTCCAGAGAGGCACCCAAACCTGCAGGCAGCAGCCAGGGAGGCACAGGTGTGATGCTCTCCATGGGGCAGAGGTCCCATGGGACACTAGGGGAGGGATGTGGCCACCCCATGCCTGTCACTGCATGTCCCTTGGCAGGGATGTGCTGCCTGGTGCAGGCAACACAGGGAGGGAATTAAAATGAAGGGGAACAATGCAGGGCAGACTGGGGGGATCCTGGGGTTCTGGACCCTTGGGGACTGGGATCCTTTGGGACAAGATCCTCAGGGACAAGTGTTCTTTGGGACAGGATCCTTAGCAATGACGATCCATTGGAACAGGAATACTTCACAGGAATCCCTGGGGAGTGAGACCCTTGGGGATGAAGACTTTAAGGATGAGGACCTTGGAGACCGGAATCCTTGGGGAGGGCGATCCAAGGGATCCTGGGGAATGAGGACCCTCCGACAAGGGGACCGTTTGGGACACAGACAATTGGGGATGAGGATCCTCGGGCAGCGGAATGCTTTGAGACAGGGTCCACGGTGACAGGGCTCTATGGGGACAGGGCTCTGTGGGACAGGGCTCTATGGGGACAGGGCTCCGTGAGGACAGGGATCTATGGGGACAGGGCTCCGTGGGGACAGGGATCTATGGGGACAGGGCTCTATGGGGACAGAGCTCTATGGGGACAGGGCTCTATGGGGACAAGGCTCTATGGGAACAGGGCTCTATGGGGACAGAGCTCTATGGGGACAAGGCTCTATGGGAACAGGGCTCCATAGGGACAGGGCTTCGTGGGGACAGGGCTCTATGGGAACAGGGCTCCATAGGGACAGGGCTCTATGGGGACAGGGCTCTATGGGGACAGGACAGGGCTCTATGGGAACAGGGCTCCGTGGGGACAGGGCTCCGTGGGGACAGGGCTCTATGGGGACAGGGCTCCATAGGGACAGGGCTCTATGGGACAGGGCTCCGTGGGGACAGGGCTCTATGGGGACAGGGCTCCGTGGGGACAGGGCTCTATGGGGACAGGGCTCCATAGGGACAGGGCTCTATGGGACAGGGCTCCATAGGGACAGGGCTCCGTGGGGACAGGGCTCCATGGGAACCGTGGTCCCGCCGGTGCAGCCCCGTGCGGCGCGGACAGGGGCAGCTTCGCCGTCCGCGCTCTACTGTCCCTCGCGGCGGCCCGTCGGGCCGGGTCACGTGGCTCACCTGGCCCAGGTGAGGCGGGGCCGGGCGCCGTTCGCTCGCTCGCAGGTAACGCCGGGGCGGGGGGAGCCGGGCCCCGGCCGCGACCGCAGCCTCAGCCTCAACCCCGGCCCCGCCGCCGCTCGCCGCTGCCCGCAGCGGGGCCGCCCGCCCTGGGCCCGGGGGCTGCAGGAGGCCGCTGCCGGGAGGGGCGGGCACCCCCGTGGCCTCCCCCTCCGCCAAGACCGGGTTCTCCGTCTCCGTGCGCCTCGGGCCGGGGATGCTGGCGGCTGAGGGACAGCCCCCCCACGCCCATCGCTCCGGTGCTGTCGTTGTTCCCCCCGCTCTGATCCCCTCCCTGCTCTGAGGCCTTCCCGGCCCTCGCCCTGCGAGGCCGGTGTCGGTAGGAGCTCTGCTGGGGGGTCCTGGTGCTCTTTGGTCCCTCCTGGGGTCGGCTTGGCTTTGGAGAGCTGATACCGCGATGGGGAGCGCGGCGGGGACGGGAGGCTCCCCCCTCACACACACACACCCCTGCTGTTCAGGGTTTGCTTTTGAACAGGGGTTGCTTTGCTTTGGGCCGGGGGTGCAGGGAGCATTTGATCAGAGGCAGGTTCTTGTCTGGGCTGTTTGTATCCCAGGTGGGCTCAGCTGGGAGGGTGCAGCAACACAGGGAAGGAGCCTGATCCATGTTCCTCTAGACCAGGGTTTTCTATTGCTGCCCAGTGCCAGGGGTCTGAGAGCTTTAGGGGGTGGCTTTTAGCATGTGGCAAGTCTGTTCAGAAACCACCTCTTGATGCTTCCATCTATTTATGATGGGCTGTGTCTTGTATCCTGAATTTAGGTACCTCAGTTACTGCTCTTGCTTCCCTAGTCCCTAACAACAACGGCAGTGTGGTTATTGGCAAACTGATGTGACCTTGTTAAGTAGATTCACTGCTTAATTCAGCTTTCTCCAAACTCTCAAAGGAAACCCTGTCCTCTGAACAATGAAGATCTTAGACCCCGGCTAACTCATAGATGCGCAAACACTCCGTGAGTCCCTCCTCGTTCTTCTGAAGCAGATGCTCAGGTTCTTTAGGAGGATCTTCACCCTTCGCACCTGGTACCTGCGTGAGACCAGAGAAAGCTCCCCCCCATCTCGTGAGTATCAGCCCGGCTGTGGATTTCAGTCAGAGCTTTTCTTTAGGGCTGTGTTAAGCAGCTGGCGCCAGGTTTCAGACCAGTCCCTTGCTGCTGGATTGAGGTGCTGTGTCTGGTCTGTGCTCCTTGGGTGAGATGGTTTAGAGCGAGGTGTCCCTGCCCATGGCAGGGGGGTTGGAACTCGATGATCTTAAGGTCCTTTCCCCCCTAACCATTCTATGATTCTATGAGCTCCTCCAAGGTGTGAGCTGGTGGTCACAGCAACCTGAGCTAAGAAGGGAAGGGAATGGGGTGAGCTCAGTGCTCAGGGCCAGAGGCATCTCTGATGCCTGATGCCACCGGGGGTTTGTGCAATGTCAGGCAAGAGGATTAATCTCTGTGCCTGCAGGTGTCTTGCTGCAGAGCTGCGGTAATGCTCCTCCCTGTGTCAGAGATGCTCTGAAATGTCAGGATGTTATATATTGTTATATAAATGGTTGTTACTGTGCGGTGCATGCATTAAAATCTGATGAGGCCGGGGTATTAAGAGCATTTTAAACTGCATTACAACAGTGATGAAGCTGAGGTAAAAGCCCTGTTCTTAAGTGAAAGCAATCAAAACTCTCCACTGATGCTGAGTCTAGGGAGCTCTGCCTGCTTAGCACTGAAATTGGAGTGTCTGGGGCTTTTATATTTAACGTATTGTCCAGGAATGTGCAGAAGAATCTCCTGGGACATGCATTGCTTATGGATTTTTGTAAGCTAATGGAGCCAAAGCATTCCTGGAAAGCAGTGGTATGCTGTAACTGCCTGGCTTTCACTCTGGGCCTGCTTCTTTGTGTGGAAAACATGACTATTTGTCTTTAAAAAGGGAAAAGGAGGGAATGCTCTAACAGGATAGGATAGAGGTATATATTCATGCTTAGGGTGCCCTAAGTGCATAGTATAACAGCAGGGAAACTCCAAAACTGTTTAAGCTATGGCTGGGTTTTCACTGATTATTAATTAGCCTAATTAGGATTTAAAAGGATCTCCTGGGGGTGAAAGCAGTGTTAGCCAAGAGGCTTAGAAACCGTGGGCAATTTAGGGCCCCACCACAGTCTGGGCTAAAAGCAGCAGCAGTAGGAGTAGTGGAGGGTGACAGCCTTGATGCGACTTTCCTCTCCATCACCCAGTGCTGAGCTTCCTTCATAACAGGGAGATAAAATGTGCCAAGCTCTGCTTGATGGATGTGTGGAGCTCAAGTGTGACAGTGTGTAAACACAGTTTACTCCTGTGTGCAGAGCTGGGGCTGTTGTGTTAGTCAGTGAGAACGGTTGAGCACATAGGCTGCTGGTAGGGTTTCTGTAGTAGGGCTTTGTAAAGGTTTTGCTCCCATGAGCCTTGATTTGAGAGTGACTTGATGACAAGATCTCTTTAATCCAGATGAAGACATCAGTTTTCAGAGGAAAGCCTTTGGCATAACTTGGCCTTAGCGTGACTAGCAAAAATCATTAGTGTTAGCAACGCTGCTGTTGCTAAACCCTCTAAATAGCATTGAATAATCTGGACTCTGAATTGGCCGCTTGCATAATGATTGACTGCTTGTCATATCCTCCTGGGCATGGTGTGTTTTGAAATGAATAGGCACTGTCAGGGCCCGGCTTAATCCTAAAGACTGCAAGACAAAGGGGAAGTTGTTTAAAAGAAGATACTTTCCCTTTGGAGCCTGTCAAATGGCTCCACCTATGGCTGTGATGCTCATTTATTGCTCTGGAGCCTGAGTCTTCCAGCTGCATGGAGGAAGCATCTTCTGAAGGATACAGGGATTTTGATCTCTTAAAAACAGTCCTTTTAAAACAGCTCTTTCGATTGAAGCATCTCCTGAAAGGAAGAAGCAAAGTTGAGTGGTTGGAGAGCCCTGAAACACAGCTGGATCCCCTCCCTATGCAAGTGAGAGCAGTGTGAATCCTAGTGCAAAATACCTGTGTAAATAATGGGACTATCAAATTGGGGAATCACTGAATCTAAATGTTGGGTTCTTCTCTGTTGATCAGCAGCTTGCTAAGGTGAAACTGGTGATGAATCCTTTGTTTGACTTGAGACCTTCTTGTTCTGCAGGTGCCTGAGCAGTGAGCCATGCTGGGCCGGAAAACAGGACTCCCCCACGAGCTGAACAGCCACCGCCAGCTGAACCAGTCCTACCAGGAGGCTGTGCCCCTGCGGACCAGGGCATCCAAGGAGGCAGATGTCAGTTTGGAGGTGTTCAGTGGCTCTACACCCGAAATCAAACAGGGCCGCAGCAGAGCCCAGCAGATGCGGGATAGGAAAGGTCGCAAAGCTGATCTCAAAGACTCCAATGGGAGAGAGGCAGAAACAATTACCTTTATTTCTGGTACAGCAGAGGCTCCCCCAAACCAGAGCTTTTGCTGTTCCTCTCTGTCTCAGGCCTGGAACACATACAAGGCTGTTTTCTGTTGTATAGTGACCTGTGGGGGCTGCTTTCAGGACTGCAGTGTCTGTGTCCCCTATCCAGGGCCCACTGAGACCTCCACTGATGATGGAAAGAATGGAGATTATAATGGGCGACTGCCAAACAGCCCTGCCAACGTCTCTCCCACTGAGAAAAATGGCAACCAGATCAAAAAGTCCAGCATGGGTAGCAGTTTCAGTTACCCAGATGTGAAACTGAAGGGCATTCCTGTCTATCAAAACAGGAGCCCCAGCCACCACCTGGAATCAGATTCATGCTGCAAAGAGCTGCTGCCAGAGAAGCCCTTCAGGAACAGCATAGAAAAGCCACCCCTCCCCAGCAGCCACCGGAGTTCGGAGGAGTATTATTCCTTCCATGAGTCTGACCTGGACATCAGCGAGCTGAATGGCTCCATGTCCAGCAGGGAGATTGATGTCCTGATCTTCAAGAAGCTGACAGAGCTCTTCAGCGTCCACCAGATCGATGAGCTGGCCAAGTGCACATCAGACACTGTCTTCCTGGAGAAGACCAACAAGATCTCGGACCTCATCAATAGCATAACTCAGGACTACAACCTGGATGAGCAGGATGCTGAATGCAGGCTGGTCCGAGGCATCATTCGCATCAGCACCCGGAAAAGCAGAGTCCGGCCCCATATCTCTATCCCAGCCAGCCAGAGCCACGAGGAGAAGTCCAGCAGAGGCAATGCACCAGACAGCGGGAATGAAACCATGCTGGAGTCCAATGTCATCAGCCAGGATGGTACGTGTGCCTTGCCCGGTGCTACAGCTTCAGAACAAAGAGGGTTATTTTCATGGAATCACAGAGTAGTTGGGGATGGGAGGGACCTTAAAGCTCATTCAGTCTCAACCCCCTGCCACGGGCAGGGACCCCTTCCACTGGAGCAGCTTGCTCCAAGCCCCTGTGTCCAACCTGGCCTTGAGCACTGCCAGGGATGGGGCAGCCACAGCTTCTCTGGGCACCCTGTGCCAGTGCCTCAGCACCCTCACAGGGAAGAGCTTCTGCCTAAGAGCTCAGCTCAATCTCCCCTCTGGCAGGTTCAAGCCATTCCCCCTTCTCCTGTCCTTACACTCCCTTGTAAGAAGTTCCTCTCCAGCTTTCTTGTTGGCCCCTTTAGGTACTGGAAGGCTTTTCATTTTATCAAAGCCATGGAGATGTGACAATGGAGCAGAAATGAAAGCTGGTGTCTGTCTTCAGGATGGGCTTTTTTTCCTGGGATGTGTGAATGAAGGTCCTTGTGTATTACTGGAGACCTCTGTTTCTCACCAGTCATTGTGTTGGGGCTTTCTAGATAGTATCTTTCACTGTCAAGGAAGTTTGTGCTGAGCAATAGAAGTTCTGCTGCTACTGCAATGATTCTGCTTTCCTCCTCACCTCTAAGCTGGGCAGAAAGACTGAGTCAAACTTAACTGGTATGACCAGATGAGCTGGCTTCTGCCTGAGGATGTCCAGTTACTCAGCTGCCTCTCTCCTGTGAGCTACCAGTGCTCTTTGCTAATGCCACCCTTAGACTATACCGTGACTGGGAGCCTTCTTGAAGCTGGGACTTCCTCCACACAGTGGGTGAGGAGCTGACAGTAAATATCCCTGCAGAGAGGAGGGAAGGGCTGCTGCCACAGTGTAAGTGCTTCCTGGCTGTTTGAGGGATGCTTTCCTCCTGGTCTGGAGCACTGACCTCCAGAGCAGCTTGTAAGAGTTTGTTGTAGGAAGACCTTGGAAAGCTCAGTGTGGGGGATGAGGAGAGGTCCATAAGTAACGGAGGAGGAAACCAAACCGGGTGGTTTAGCACTAAGGCTGCTGTTGCTTCCTGGTATTTAAGAACTACAAAGCTCAGATTACCAAGACAATGGTGGAAGCAAGCTGAAGAATGGGACTCTACCTCTCCTATTACCTGAGGGTGGTGCCTTCCAAGCTGAGCCCTGTGTATTCCCTGACTGGGATCAGTCTTGAGTCACAGCTGCCCATCCTTTCCTGTCTCAGTCCCTCTTGGCTTTCATTCCAGATCTGGACGTGCAGATATCCGAAGAAACATCAGCAGATGTGATAGCCAGGAACATGAGGCGACACAGCAGTGCAGGTAACATACTTGGCCATTGCAGAGGCATCACAGGAGTGAGGGGAATGCCCTGGACGTCCCATGTTACACCATCCTTCAGTTTTCACCCCCAAAGGCTGGGCTGACACCTGCCTCTTTAGGTTACCATAAGGGGAGTAGTTCTCTTGAGCTTTGGGCATGAAGGGAGCTCAGAAGACTGCCAGGGTCAGTGGGTGCTGGAAAAGAATGGAACCCAAGTATGGAGTGATCTCTGTCCATGCACGATGCGTGGCCTGACAGCTTTCTGTCCTGGGGAGTCTGTGGGGCTGTATTTGGGGTGTGACTGGCTAAGGTCACAGCTGGGTTACACTGGGAGCAAAAGGAACTGTGCAAAAGGGAAGCAGGGCAGGGTGATGGGCTGTCCCCTGAGCTCTCATCCTCCCGGCATGCATGCTCCACTCCAAAGAGCAGCCCAGGGCTAAAAGACAAGTTTTCTCCTGCATAATAACACATCTGTCCTAGGAGATGGCTACAATATAGGCAGGGTTGTTCCCTGCCTGTGGGCTTTGTGTGGCTTTCTCCTCCCTCATGATACACAAAGCCTTTGTGGCAGATGCTTGCCTAACTGCCAGGCTGCTACAGTTCACACTGTCTAATGTCACCATCTCTTCTCTTTCCTCTCCAAGGCTCTCCAACAAGCAGAGATTCCTCTTTCCAAGACACAGAGACTGACTCATCCGGGGCACCTCTGCTTCAGGTGTATTGTTAAGGAAAAGGACCCAAGCAGCAGGCAGCATTCCCAGGCTCTGCTGCTATCAGTTTTCTCCTCTTTCAATATGGAGTGTGCTATGCCACTTACTTCCCCCCCCCAAGTCCACCCTGATCCTTTGTTGAAGCCAAATTTCTCCTGCTCTCTAGATTTCACTGGATTTTTATGTTTTCTTGGACAATATAGAACATCAAGGAAGTGAACTGTGGAGCTAATGAACCTGGGAGGTGAAACGTGTGCCCAGGGAAGAGATGATGGGCAAGGAAGTATCAAATAACTTGTGCCTTTGAGATTTCCATACTTCATGTTTAGCTTCAACAACCTCTGTGGCCCAGCCCTGTTCCTCTGCTTTTGAGGATCTGTTGCACAGTTCTTGCTTTCTGGCATTGCAGAACTCAGTTTGAGTAGGGAAGAACTGGATGGTGTCTCTGTGCTTGTGCTGATCCTGAGTTGAGGACCAAGCACCTGCTCTCCAGGGACCCAAATCTCTATTTAAAGTATCTGGGTGGGTCCCAAAACCATTTAAGTCCTTTATCCATGGTGCTTGCAGAAGCCAGATCTGCCTTTTTCCCCATAGACCACCCTTAGCGGTGTCATCTTCTGCTGCACTGTATGGGAAGGTTCAGGTAACGTGGTTCATTTAATCTCTGGCCTCTTGGCGTGTCTCCTGAGATAGTGCCAGTCACAGAGGGGTGGGATGCCTGCACAGACATCCCTTTTCCCAAGGAGACCATGGGGATCAGCTGTGCCATCACTGCCAGGTGTGGGTTTGACCTGTCACCTCTTCCTCACTCATCTGCCCAGCCCTCTGCCTGGCATTCACACTGGCTGCTGCGCCAGCCTTGCACTTGGGGTATGGCAGCAGAGGGAAAGTTGGTTCATTTTGAATGGGTTTTGTAGTTAGGAACAAACAGGGTTGTTTGCCTATTCTTGCTTTGAGAGAAAAGCATCCCCTCAGGGGGTCTGCAGGGGGCCGTGAGGGCCTGCCCTTTGGTGCCTTCTCCTGCCCTTTGGTGCCTTCTCCTTCCCTTTGCTCCACTCCAGCAGGTCAGAAGCAGGAGATGGGGCATTGCCACCCGGAGGGCACAGTGCCAGCTGGCCTTGAGGGCTGCAGCGTTGCAGCAGGAGGAAGCTCTGTCTTACTGCTGTTACCACTTGGATGTTTATCAGAAAGCAAACAAGGTGAAGCCATGGGACTTGTTTGTCCGTTCAGGTGCCCTTGGACGTGAGCAGAAAACACTTCAGTTGTATTTACCAGCCATGGCATAAATGCACCCACTGGTTTCTGGGGGAGAGGGAAACCAAAATAGCCCCCGTGCTTCAGTGTGCACCATGGTTTTGTGCCTGAATTGAACTGAACCGTGCCTTTATTTCCTAGCCTGTGATTACTTTTCAAATGGTTTGCTAGGGAGGGAAAGGATTTAATTCCTCACATGAGCAGCCAGGCTTATTTAACCAGCCAAAGCCCTTTGAAATGGTTCAAGTGCCTGTTGGAGCCTGGTTTTGTGACCTGCTCTTGTTCCTGAGCATGCCTTCATAAATCATGGACATGACCAAGCCCACACCTGGGGACGCTGACGGAGAGAGCCTTTGAAACTAAAGGGGAGAGACTGAGACTTGGATTTGCCTTCCCCTCCCTGCTTTCTTGGGTTGTGAACAACCCCATTGATGCAAGAAAGAGACTTGAAGCCAGGCCAGGACTCCCAGAGGAGCCGTGTTTGGTCACCTCCTTCCAAATGCTACTGATGGACCCCTTTGGCTTCCTGCTTCTGAATGGATTTGTACGTCTGTGTTTGGACCAGTTTACTTCAACCTGTGCACTGAGGCATCATCAGCATGGGTCATGCTGACCTGCAGCTCTGTGGTCTGCGCTGAGCTTTGGAGATGAGGGCTGAGGATGGACTTGCAAAGAGCTGCCAATCGCCATTACAGATGCAATAGCAGGTTTTTCATGTGTAGTCTTTGTCTGAAGAGTGAATGTGGATGGATTAAGCTTGCAAAACCTCAACCCCCCCCCAAACCTCACTAAGGGGAAGACTCTCAACGGGATGGTCCCTGAAGCTGGTGCCCCTGTGGTGTCTTACGGGATTCTTTTGCACTCCTTGGCCTTAAATGTCTGATTTGGTCGTTTTTATAAAGCAGAACGATGTGCTCTTTACCTGTGCTGTGTCTCTTGCATTCCTGCTGGCAGCAGGCTGGGGGGAGCCTGGGCCAGGCCAGGAGCATTGCACAGGGCATTGCTGATCCCTGCTTTCCCAGCAGCACATGGACAAAGGTATCTTTGTCCATTGGGCAGCACATGCCCAGGGGGATTGCTTGTTCAAAGGCTGAATGTCCTGGGCTGGTGCACGCAGGGAAGCTGGGGGCAAATAAAGGAGCCACTGGGAAGTGCCTGTTTGTACCCAGGGAAACTTGGACCTTCCCTGAGCGGTGATGCTGGAACTGAGCTCAGTTGTTCACAGAGGCTCTGGAGTGGCTGCTGGCCTGGATGGATGTGCTTGCAGGGGGAGGTTGGCTCACTCGCTGCCCCGGTGACCTGAAGGACCAGTTTTGCACTAATTTCACTGCAGGATCTCAGCTGAGCCCCATTCCCTGCCCCTGACCTTCCGTGCCCCTCCGTGGGCAGAGGACACAGGGAGGTGGTTGTGGTGGGTTTTTTGCCCTTGGTGCATAGGACATCTCCAGGCAGAACAGGGTGGATGGGGTGAAGGGTTGGCATTAACCCCTTCTTTTTGTTTTCCTTAAGTGTAGCCTGTTACGGACTTCTTTGGTCCATGCAGACAGGCAGAAGACTTGACCCCAAACTTGAGTCCTTCTGTACATGGTCCCCTGCCTGCTCTATCTCGCTTCTCTTAAACCAACCCACCCTTTGGCTCCAGGCACAGCCCACTGCAGTTGTGTGAGATGTGTTTCCTGGAAGGATTTCAAAGCCATAACCAGGTAAATGCTGCTTTCTCTCTGAAATGGGTCTCCAGAGGAGATGTGCCTGGAGCCCTTGAACCAGCTGCTTGGGGCCCTAGGGACGTGGAGCAAAGGCTGCTGGCAGCAGCTTGCTGGTCCACCTCCAGCAGCCTGTGTGGGGATGTGGCCATGCCACGGCTGCCTCTGCTGTCCCCATCTGCTCCTAAGCTTCCCTGCTTGTTCCCTGGGCCACACTTTCCTGCCCTCAGCCCACCCTTCCTCCCTAACCCCCTCCAGTGCCTTTCCTGGAAGCAGGATGTCTGCCCACAGCACTCACTGCAGTGACCAAAGTGACTGAGGAGCTGTAGCACAGAGCATTGCTTCTGCTTCTCTCAGGCCCATCAAATCCTTGGGAAGAGGCTGTTTCTGAGGAACCTTGAGTCCAATCCCTGCTCAGTGCAGCTCTGCTCTCAGCTCATCCCCTGCCCCAAAACACTGCTGCCAAGGGATCGCTGCAATTCCTGGTAACACCTGAAAGCTTTGCATTTCAAACTATAACTCTGTGGCCAGCTCTCCTGCTTCCGTGTTCACTGCGTGGATCATGGGGTTTCTTGCTCACAGCCACCCATGGAATGAACCCACAGCGGGGTTTTGTCTGCTGAAGGTTGTGTTTGTGCTGCTGTGGTGGGTTTTGCTCTGTTGAGTGTTCTGCAGTGACCTGGCAGGGGTTGGTTGCCCAAGTGGGGATCTTACAAACACAAGCGGGTTTTACCCAGCTGTGTGCATGTGAACGTGCGCTTTCCACCCCGGTGCTTCCTTCTGGGAACCTGACTCAGCACCTTTCTTCTCCTGAAGATGTTGCTTGAGTTTTATTGGGCTTGGTTTTGCCAGGAGACTCTCCAGAGACTCAGTGTCCTCGCCATGCCATGGGTGTGCTGCTTTTTAGTGGCTTCAGTAGAATCCAATGTACTGAGCAGACCAAGGCACCCCCCTGCCAGGATCAGTAACTGCTGGGAACGGTTCTTTGAGTGTTAAAGAAATCAATCAATCTCCCCTTTACACCCTGAACTATTGATTTTAGTGTGTTTAGGAGTTAGAAAGTGGATGGATTGACACTGATTCTTTACAGCCTTGGCAGTAACAGAGGAGCTGTGGCTTCTCCTCAAAGTAAGCGGTGATGTTCAATACCCAGTGCCCGTTTCCCTCATTGGGGTTTTGCTGCTTCGTTGTTCTTTCCAGAGCAGTCTGGGGTGTTCCCCAAACAGTCTGCTCTGCAGTGGTCATTAAGAGAAGCTAAGCCAAGAGCTGCTGGAGAGGAGGGCAAAAGGAAAGACTGGGAGAACCCTTTACCTTATGGAGCATCCTCTGCAGAGCCTGCAGCCCTGCAAGGGATCTCTCTCTTATAGGAGGTGCGAAGGGGCCAGGCTTGTGGAGGAGCTCTGGGCTGTGCTCTGCTGCGGCTCCGGCGGGTGGCAGCACCCAAACGGCTTCTCCAGGTGACTTGGGTGTAGGAAGGCAAAGGGACCTCCTCTGCTCTGCTGGGCCTTGGGCAGGGAAGATGCGAGCAGAGATGAGGATGGATTTGCAGGGCTGGGTTTCCAGTGGTGCTCAGTGTTTCCCTGCTGTGCTCTCCAGTAACTCTGAGATGGGGCTTGCTGTGCTTTAAACCAGTTCTGCAGCTTCTCAGACCAGAGCTGTCCTGCCTGGCATGATTTATTCCAGGGAAAACTGTCCTTTGGAAGCAGAAGGGTGCTCTGGATTCCCCTTGGCCTGCGGGAAGGTCAGTGGCAGCTGGATGTTTGCAGACCACAAGGCCATCCGGAGAAACACCTTCTGTTCCGCTGGCTGGAAGGGTTGAAGTCCAGGGGTAGTGCTGGGATCAACCTGGGATCACAAACACAGCCCCGGGCATTCACCTGCAGCAGGTCTGGAGCTGGAGTGAGGGCCCTGTCCTCCCAGGACTGTTTGCCTTTCCCGTGGCCTGCCTGGAAGGCCAAATGACATTCCTTTACCCCCTAACCCACCCTCTCTGCTTCCTCTGGGGCTCCTGCCGCTGCCTCTTCCCTGTCTTCACTCTGTCTGCTCTCAGGTGCTTCCCAGCCTGCCCCTGCAAGTGCCACCAGCCTGAAGGAGCAGATGTGGATTGTCACAGGTGCCATTACCCTGACCCCTGCTGAGCACACCGTGAGCCATGACCCTGCAGGGGCTGAGGACCCGAGATTTGGGGTTTGGTGACACGGAAGGAGCTCCACAAGCAGCACAGGCACCACAAGGCCGTGTACCTGCCACCACCCACTGCTTCATGCCAGCGAGCAGATCAGGTCAGGCTCAGGGTTTCTGGTGCTGGTTACAGGGCTGAGGTGGTGAAGAAGTAACGAAGCTCAGGCTGGGCTCGGGGTGTTGCCATGAACTGGGACAGTGTAGAACTGGCCCCGTTTGCAGTCCTGGATCCTGCTGCAGGGACAGAGCCCAGCCGGCTCCCCTTGATCTCCAGCTGCCCCAGGGAGCAGCAGCAGTGCTTTGACATGGCTGAGAACAGGGTGAAACTCACCACACCCCTGCCAGCCCACCCTCACCCCAGACACCGCCAGGTACCCTCACCCCAGGCCTAAGCACCTTCAAGGCGCTGCTTTATCATGGCCAAAGCACAGACAGATTGAAGATGAACAGGCATAAGGATCCCAACAGCAGCCACCCCAGCCTGGGTCCTTCCTCACCCACAAGGTCACTGCTCCACTGGGTGGGTGCTGGGTTTTGATCCCAAGAGGCTATAAAACTGGGAGATTAACTGCAGACAATGTCCTATTGTGTAGAAAAAGGCCCTAAACCCGAGCAGGCAGGTGCAGTGCCAGGCTGGACTTCGCCCAAGCCGGTTTTCCAGCCGTTTGTGCCCACTCTGGCTGGAGGTGGAAACGTTTCATGGAGGCAAAGAACCACAGCAGCAGGGATCTGGGTTAGCCTGCAAAGGACTTTCCTTGTTAGCTCATCATAAAGGAGACCTGGGGCAAGGGTGGCTTCCTCAGCACAGTCATGTGCTGCTACGTGGACAGTAGGGCTTGGAGCAATGGGCCTTGGTCAGCCTCGTGTTTAAGTGGAGCCTGGAGTTCATCAGCACTCAGGAGTGAGACACGAGGTTCCAACTGTCTCTCCATGGCCAGGCAGGCACCACAGTCAAGAGCAGGGAGCCTGGAGACATTGTCCCCTCCCTGCTCACACCCCTGCAGCAGAAAGCACACGGTCTACTTGGAAATAAGCCATTTTTTTCCTTTATGTTGCACTGCAGTTGAACACGATATGAACATGCAGAGAAATGCCACTCGGCAGCAGGAGCTCAGGAAACAGCAGTGCCTGTCAGCAGTCAGCAGGGGAAGAGGCAGGAGACACAGCCCCAGCAAGAACAGCCCCCCTTCCTCTCCCCTGCCCACAGCCACAGGCTCCCCAGCCTTCCCTTACCATAAGGCAGCAGATCAACCCCTCCAGACTAGAAGCAGCAGCAGCAGAGGAGCACAGTGTGCCTCCACTGCAATAGCTGGTGGTTTTAGACTGGTGTTTTCCCTTCCCAAGGAGGCAGAAGGAGAATTATTTGACAAACTAAACTGGCCCTTGTCTTCACAGAACAGCAGGAAGCTGATGAGAAGGGAGTAAAAACTCAGGAGTACCTACTGCCAAACTGCAATGGCAAAGAGTGCATGAGCAGCTCGGAAGAGCCAGGAGACAAAGCTAAGTGATACATCAAGGGTAAGTCCCTTGGCTCCTGTTGCTCTGACTCCCTTTTGGCTCTATCCCCTCCTTCTCTCTTAACTGCCCTTTGGGAAGTGTCTCAGATGGTTTCAATTGGAGCTGCTGCAGCCTTGTATTCTGCTCAACACAGGACAACTGAGGATGACTTTGTGAAGCTGCCTCCGCTGCAAGCTCGGGTGGGGATGCTCAAGTGTCTACTCGCCCAAGGTAAGGGATGTCCAGCGATACGTATCCTGCCCCATTCAATAGGCTGACTGAAAGAGGGGGGAGAAGGGGAGGGCTCAGTTGAATTTAGCTTTTGAAAAGTCCATTTCTGGATGCTGTTCCATGAACCTGCAAGGAAAACAAAGACAAGAGCATGAGTATGAGTCAGCAGGAGCCACAGAACAGCTTGGCTGCCAGGAGGGGAAAAGGCATCCCTACTTCCTGCACTGTCAAGTTTGCTTTGTCCCCACACCCTGCAGGGCAGGGACTGTTCTGCTGAGCTCCTTAGGGGACAGTCCCACACTACAACCTTTTTCCTCAGGTCAGTGGTACCAGCCATGGAGGTCAGCAAGTCCAGACACAGGGAAGCTATTAATTATCAAACACACACCCTTTAGCTGTTACCTCTCAGACAGACACGTAGCAGGAACGAGAAATTGCAGGGCAGAGGGGAGATTGTGAGAGCAGATTATGACTTAAGATCAAACTTGTTAACTTAAGCATTCCTGGGGATACAGGGAGTATCTCCAGTGCTGTGACAGTGAAAACTCATGAAGGACGTGACCAGAGAAACCTGGTTTCCAGCTAGGTGCAACCTGATTTCACGTGTACTGCAATGCCAGCAGATAGGAGCATTTGGACTCAGGTTGCCACATCAGAAGGTTCTGAGAACAATACACTGTGCCTCTGATCACGAGTAATGAGTGCATGGAGAAGCTCCTGGCTTTCTCCTCTGCCCTGCAGCTCACAACACAGGACCAGATGGAGGATCCATGCACAAAGTCTTCCTCCATGCTCTCATCTCATGGTTTCCCCTGAAACACCACCACAGCATTTCCACTTTACTTCCATGGAAATAGGTGCTGCGAGAACAGTGTCCGTTTTTAGCAGCCATATGGGCTTCACAGGCAGAGATTAGGACCCACCTGGGTGTCACCGAGTCTACTCTGGCCTGAACATTCTCTCTGCTCTTTGCCAGCCAACCTGCCCAGCTCCAGAGCACTGAAGGAGTGACCCTGCCAGCAAGGCATCCTGCATGTGGACTTCCCAGCAGGACAGGGCTACCTCCCACTCCACTAAACACACAGGCACTAAGGAAGCGTGGCCTCTGCTCCAAAGCAGCTTCACCCTATGCTGTACTCAGTGCACTGATCAGAGCGAAGCTTCTGCCACTACAGATAATGTAAGGAAGACGAGGAGTCAGGCCTGCGACACTGATCCTCCTTCCAACCTGAGATAAAGCTGTGGGTTTGCACTCGCTGAAGAAGTTGCTTGACCCAGAATTACCTCCACACCTCCCCACATGGCCTTGGGAGCTCTGTGAGTAACCTTCCTACCAAGGTGCATTTATGCCAAACAGGGTAATAAAGACATAAAAGTGCTATTGGCTTGGAGACAGCATTCTGGTGGCAAGTCTGCAGGGAGGGGAGATTATCTGGGCTATGGAGAAGAGGGAGATTAGAAAACAATCAAGATCATGTTAAAGTTCAGTAGAGATGGGACCTCCAGTCCCAAACATGCTTTCTGGACTTGAAAGCAGATTAGGATAATTCCAGAGCTAGGCTATTCCCAGCACTTCCCGTTATGCTTTCTACCCCCACAGGCTTTTACAGACACTGGTGGTTGGCCAACAATTTGATGCCTACGTAACTGCAGATGTGAACACAGGTAGGACTGAAGGCCAACCTGCTTTCTACTCACGTATCTGTGTCAAAGAGGAAGAGGAGAGGAGCTTGGGGAAGGGAAACCCCACAAATTAACGAGGTCTACTCACTTTTTCAAGATGTCTTGCTTCTTCTGTTCATCAGATGTGGGGAGGCCCATGGATTTCTGTCGCTGATCATACATCATCTTCTCCACCATACTGCGAGTTTCACTGTCCAGGTCTGACAACTACAAGCAAGGGCTTTGATTAAAAGTGGAATAACTTTCCTCAACCTAAACATACACCCTGCTTGCAGAGAACATGAATACACTGAGGTTACAAATACATGGCTGCTGCATCCCTGGCAATGTTCAAGGCCACATTGGACAGGGCTTGGAGCAAGCTGCTCTAGTGGAAGATGCCCCTGCCTGTGGCAGGGGGTTGGAACTCAATGATCTTAAGGTCCTTTCAAATCCTAATGATTCTATACACTGATGTTATGCTTTGCTGTGTGCACAGGCTGCAGAAATACTTATACAGACACTAATTTATAAACTCAGCTTCATTCACTTGGGGTTTTGGAAGCACTTAAGTTCATGGAAGAGAAGGCTCCATTCAGTAGAACAAAGGGAGTTCTTACCTTTGAGTTCTCTGGATTAATCTTCTTGGTGTTGATTTCTGGGTCTGTGGAGACGAGTTTGTTCCACCATTCCATCTTGTTGATCTGAAGGACCAAGTAGCAAAAGTATTTTATTTCTCCTGGGCTTGCTCTAAGAATTTTCTGCCTCAGTCACAGGGAAAATCTGAACATGGATAAAGGGTACAGCTTTCATTCTGAACCACTTTAGGTAGCCTGAATTTCCACAGCTGGGAAACTTGAGAGCATGTCAGATGTCACCTTTGGCATGACATAAATGGGATTACAATCAAATTGCCTGGAGAGGCCCAGAAGGGACACAATAATAATAATGTCTGTCCTTGGGTTTTCATGTCACTAACAGATCTCAAAACATGGCATTATTCCATTAAGGCACAACTTCAAAATGACTGATCTCCTTCCAGCTGAGCAATGTGATATCCTGGACTAGCATGAAGTTAGGCTGAAGACAGGGGGAACCTGCAAAACCCCACTTCCAGCAGTAGCCCTGACCACATACCAAGGATAAGCGTGGCTCTTGTTTCAGCTGACAAAGCCCAGGGCTTTCACAGGTTTTGTCAGACTCTAATTTCAGGGAAGAGGCAGACAAGTCTGAAGCCTCCCCATTTCATTCTGCTTTACCTTCTCCAGGTGCACAGTGACTGTTTTGCCATCTTCAATCAGCCAGGAACTCTCCTCCACCTTCACTTCGTTGAAAAGCTCTCCATCGATGACAGGCGAATGGCCCTTCAGGCCAACTTTGAGGCGCCGTCTCTGGATATCCACCACCATGTCCTTCCCCTTCAACCTGAAGTTCACCTTGAAAGGGATGGCCAGCTGGAACAGACAAAGAGCAAACTTCAGGAGCTGAGCAGTGAAGTCTCTCCTCACCCTCTCACACTACTGTTCTCTAAGACTTTCTGCCTTGGTTTCACCAGAGTAAGACAGAACATGGAATATTTTCCTTGGGGTACTGAGTAAGTGGGAGGTAAAAGGATGCAAGAGTAAGTTTGGCAGCAAGATGGTCAATGATTCAAAGGGACCATAAAACCGAAGCAGATTTTAATGCCTTGTTAAAACAAGACCATGTTTGGTAAAGTTAACTACAGCTTCTGGGGAATCTGATTTAGTTACCAAGCTCTCTCCCAGCTATTGAAATGCTGCTGTTAAGTACAACTAAGAGGGTCCCACAGACAGCTGAGATCCAGGGCACTGACTCCACTGTTCTTAGAGCACCTGCTCTTAATCCCTATCTCAGATTCCTCAGATCCTGGTACTAAGGCAACACTTACATCAAGTTCTGAAAGGGTCTGTGTCCATCTGTAATTTGGAAGGTCAGCTCCATTGCCAGAATTGGGTTTAAGTTTTCCTTTGTCCTTCTCATCTTCCTCTTCATCATCTGTTTCCTAAGCAACAGTTTAAGGTGTAAAGTGTGGAATTAAGTGTGTGATTCTTAAAGAATGCCAGACTGGGCACCCCCTCCCATTCAAAGAACTTTTCAGGGTTGTCCAGAAACTTATTTCTCTCAGCCTAAAATAAAGCCCCTAAATGAGCTTTACCTGTTTGTTAGAATCTGAAGATTCCCCTTCTTCCTCCGAGGGTTTCACTGGGACACTGTTAACCTGTCCTTGTGCTTCCTTCTTCTGCTTAAAAAGAGAACAAACACCGTCAGCCGAATGTTGGCACTTTGTGTTTCTTGCTGATCTGACACTAGGTGGACTCAACCTCTTCAGCTGAAACCACAGAGCAGGACTCGAGACCTGCACTGAAGACATTTTAGCCCCTAGAACAGTGTTACAGGAAAGCAGTGCTGCCAAGGGGAGGATTCCCTTGGTCCTCACAGCTTTGGAAGTGCAACAATTGAGCCCAGGCTGACAGCTGACACCACAAAGGAACAAGTCTGAGCCATTTTAAGCCATCACTGCTACCAGAGCTACACACAGGCCAGTGAAAATGACCCAAATGGTACTTGCAGGCACCAGACCTCACTCTTACCTGGTTGATTTCCAGCTGCAGCCTTTCTGCTTCCTCATCCGTAAGTTCCTTAATCCTTGGCTCGTTCGCTTCTTGCTTTTCCTTAGCAAGCTTTGCAGCTCGCTCCGACTTTTCGCGCCGCTCTGCCTCCTGACGAGCCTTCTTCTCCTTCCGTTCCTTCTGAGCCAGTTTGTTGTGATGGTTGAAGGTGTCTGTGATCAGCTGAAAGACAGGAACAGCACCAAAGGGGGTTAAGCAACCACTACTTTTTCAAACCCAAATGAAGCCAACTCACTGTTGATCTGTAGATGTTGGGGCTTTTCCCTTCCTTTTCACTCCAGTCTTTTGACTGAAAATCTAAAGAGTATTTCAGTGTAGCCCTTCCTAGTTCTTCCTTACACAGGGATTCTCATGGAGATAACAGGGAAATAACAGTTCTCCATTTGTCCTGCCCTTTGTGCAGTTCCAGGATGAGCAGATGCCTAACCCAGCCATTTGACAGCTACTCCATCTAGGACAGCACAGCTGGAAGAACAGAGACACCAGATCCAAGGTTTTTTACCTACTTCTCACCTTTCCCATGACTGGGCTTTTCCACATGGAGACTTGGTGCCATGTTTTAGAGGAGAAACATTTGAAAAGCTCAATGGTTTACACTCAGGGGCAAGTTCCTACATAAATCCAGTCCCAATTCTCATGTTGTTGTGACTATGAAAAGCAAAATGTCAAGGTCTCTGATGCAAAGGGCTCTACTGCTCAGCAGGGAAACTGAGTACATAGGCAGGAAGCCAGAGCAACTGCCCATGGCTGATAACACCATGGCCACTGTGCAAAGAAGCACGTATGAGAACTGAAGTTTGCTCCGGAAAACAATGTAGGTAGAACCCAAGAAAAGGAACTGGAGAGATTTCTCAGCCGGGGGGGTCAGGTGCTGGTTTATATATACCCTAGAAACTTTCAGGAGGGTTCACTTCTTTCCCAAATCAACTCAAAGTATCGACACCTTGGAGTTTTGTAACCAACACAAAGGATTTCTGCTTCAGAGCAGTTTGTTTCATCTTGGTGCAGGTACTGTGGTGTCAGAGATAACTGCGTTGAGCACCTTTGCAGACCATACAGCATTTTAACAGACACCACCCAAGGACACGCTGTCCTTTTACAGGCACAGACACAGATTTCTATGGAGTTGGCAACAACAGTAGCCAGGACCTTCAGAATCACTGGCCAGTGTCATCTCTGAAATGCTACTCTGGTTTCACTCTCTGGGAGCATGCCAGAATTCAGGGAAATTTGTTCTTCAGGCAAAGAAAACTGACAGCAGGCTTTACCTTTCTTAATTTGAAACCATCCTCTTTTCCTTCCTTTTCCTGCTTTCATTTTGTTCCTTTAAAGACTAGACACAGTAAGTTACACACTGTCTTCGCAACTAACATCTATCCTAACACCTTCAGCACAGGAGCAGCACCCCATTTGCTGGAGTTCCAGCAGTTCAGGAAGAAGAACAACTGCTATATTTCTAAGTATAAGCAAGAAAGTTTGGCCAGTTCACGTCTGAATGCTCTGAATCTTATTTCCCTGCAGGGAAACAATTGAGTTTTTCAGCTCTGGAGCTGGGTGAGGAGTTCAGGCTGCCAGTGCAGACCCCCAGGCTTGCTCCCCAGCTCCATACAGACAAAGGTGCAGGCGCCTGTGCAGAGATGTGGACTTTGTGCTTTTTCTGAGATGAACAAACAAGGTAACGTGGGGTTATCAACACCACGGTGTGTGTCACCGTTAAGTCAGTGTGTCTGGCAGATTTGCTTTCCAAACAAGCCTTTGGCCAGAGCATGGCAACAGAACCTGCCACACCATTGGTACCATTTGAAGGAGCAATCAGATAGAGGCAACTGTTTCTACCTTGCTTCAGCAATGTGTTTCATCAGCATCACAGTGTCCCCAGGCACACCAGAATGCTTTGGGCTGTTCAGGCAGGGAAGGCTCAGTATGGCACAGATAGAGGTGGTATAAAGGATTTGGGTGTTTTTTTACCTTCTCTGCTACTCCATCTTCTCCTCCGGTGAAGAAATCCGTTTTACGCCTCAGGAAACTAAAGAACGTGTTCACAAGCTGGGAGAGGGAACGGGGTGGGGGGGAGAAGGGGAGGAGACAAAGAAAGAGCAATGAGACCAGATCTTGCCAAGCCACCTCCTGTCCCTTGAGCAGCTTCTGCTCTTCATCCTCCCTATCCATGTACCAGGGTCATACTTAAATCAACCCCGTGGCTGTTTCCCAATCCAACAGCTTTTGTGGCAATCCAGCTCTGGGATTCCCAGTGTCCAGAAGAGGCATTTGTGTGGTTGACATGAGGAAAGGGCAAGCAGTTTATTGTCGGGTCATCTTGGAGACACATCTACTCCAACGCCCCAAGCTGCTACCTGAGGCAGGAATTTGGGTGGCTATGTGTATGTATGTGCATCTATACACGTACATAGACAAATACTCTGAGTTTTCTGCTACTTTAGATTTTCACTCAAAAGCCTGGAGTGAAAAGGAAGGCACTGGAATGGGTTGCCCAGGGAGGCTGTGAATGCTCCATCCCTGGCCATGTTCAAGGCCAGGTTGGACAGAGCCTTGGGTGGCACGGTTTAGTGGAAGGTGTCCCTTCCCATGGCAGGGGGGTTGGAACTGAATGATCTTAAGGTCCTTTCCAACCCTAACTATTCTATGATTCTATATACACATGTACTGTACTTTGCTTCTTTGCATACTTAAACCCTTAAATTGTGCAAACTCACCCTTCCCCAAGCCCTCTTTATTTTTACACCTGTCTGGCTGCCAGATACCTCATTGGCAGTTTTGAACTGGCACCCCCAAACACCCCTATGGCCATCCCTACTCTTGATGGACTTGGCTTCTCTTTATTTCCCAAGCATTCCGTCCTCTCCATATTTCAACCAGAGGTTTCCCTGCAGCACAAGGAGCTGTTCCAAGGATGTGTCCCTAAATGATTACCATGCATCCCAGACCTCCAGCAAAGCAGGCTCTGAACACTCCGGGGGCACACTGGGAAGCATGAGGTGCTTCCCCAGGGCCCTGCCCCCGAGGAGGGCACCACATTCACTTTCAAGTGCACTTCATGGTCGAGTCCAACCCCCCATCAGTTATCGGGGGGGCGCTAGGGACTGCGCACGTGGGGGGGGGGCGGCAGGAACCGAGCCTCCTCTCGGGTGTTCTGCCTTGTTGTCGCCCTGCTTACACTGTACCTCCGTTGGGGTGCGAGGGCGCAGGCCGAAGCTCCTCACCCCCTCTTATTAACCCCGTTAATTAACGGCCGGCTCCTCCGCGCTCCCCGGGGGTGGCGCGGGTCCGGGCCGCTCTCGTAGGAGGAAGAGAGAGAAGCACACGTGCCTCCTGTGCACCGCTTGCACCTGGGAAAACCGGGCCCTCCACCCTCCCGCTCCTTCCCACTCTCTCCTCCCGGTTCTTCCCCCCGTCCCCCGTTGGGAACACGGAGAAGCTCCCGCCGCTGGCGGCGCTACCTCGCGCACGCCGCCGTGGTGCTGCTGTGCCATGGCGAGCAGCATGCCGTCAAAGCGGTCCTCCTGCTCCGCCGCATCCTCCGCGCTCAGCCCCATGGTGCCCGCCGCTGCCGCCCGCCTCAGCCCCGCACACCGGTGACCGGAACCGGAAGCGGCTCCAACGGAAAAGTCAACGCAGCCGCGCGCGTCTTACGTCCACCAATCCCAGAGCGCCTCTGTGCTGATTGACAATAGGAGCAACCAATCAGTGGGAGGAGGGGTGGGACGCGAGGCGCGGGGTTCCGTTGCTATAGCAACCGCCTGTCCAGGCCTTTCCAGAAAGCTCGGTGTAGGCCTCTGAGCCTGCGGCGGGGTCCCGTGAACCGGTTGGGCCCTCCCGGGGATACCGGCTCTGCACCGTGGCCCCCACCACCGGCGAGCCTGGGTCCGGCCTCTGCACCAGCGTGGGGTGCTGGAGAATGATCCTGGCACATGGATAGGGTGAAGAGCAGAGGTTGCTCAAGGGACAGGAGGTGGCTTGGAGTGGTCTGGTCCCATCGCTCTGTTTTCTCTCCCCCTCTTCTTCCCGGGGGAGAAGATGGGGTAGCAGAGAAGGTAAAAACCTCAAATCCTCATGCTTTTATGTCTCCTAACTTACATGTCGCCCATGTGCTGGTGTGCCCCCATTGTCATGGGTTAGTGGTGGTCCTGGGGTAAAGACTGGACTCAATGGTCTTAAAGGTCTTTTTCAACCTCTTTGATTCTGTATCTGTGCCTTCCCTGCCCAAACAACTTAAAGCATTCTGGTGTACTTGGGGACTGGCAGCCCATGGTGCTGATGAAACACATGCTGAAGCAAGGTAAAATGAGTTGCCCCTATCTGGTTGCTCCTTCAAAGGGGGTATATTTTGCCATTTAGGATTGGGGGGGGGGTTGTCTCCCTCTGTGCCACAGGTATCCCTCCTCCTCTTCACCCCCCCCCTCAGGAAACCCGTGATGAGGAACTGCCACTTCCCTGCCTCAATTCCTGCTGCTTAGTGACTAAAACCACTCTAATTCCAGGTGAAACTCCAAGAACTTGACCTCCCACCCTGCGCTTCCCCCTGAGAGACCCCAATGGATCCCTGTGCCTCGCTTGGGGCTGACCGCCACAGCCCATGGCTCGCCGGCTCTCTCTTCCTCCTCCCTTAACAACCAGAGTCTCCTGAGCAAGGTCAGGCAAACAGGCGCTGCTAAAACAACTTCCAGGTTGCTCGTTCCAAGGCCGGAGCACGCAGGTCATGGAAGGGAGGCCCCAGACGAGTGCGTGTGACCCTGCCGGCAGCGACACCGCCGGCAGCGCGGGGGCCTTGGTGCCATGGTACAGGCTGGGTTAATGACTTTGTTTGTACTGCTTTGGGGAATGGTGATAAGGTCGCCCAACCCACTGGCCCCTTCCCTTGGTGCTTCATTGAGAAAACGGCCGTTGACACGGTGCACAGAGCTCCTTTGCCCCGGCCAATCAGCCCGGGGACAACGGGTGGTTGGGCTTTTATAATGACTGCTTAATCACAGCGCGGTCAAGGCTGTGGAGGGGTGTTTCACTCCTGGCCCGGCCTTATAAGAGCTGGTTTGAGCGACTATGGGCTGGCAGAGCTGGGAGGACGGGGAGAATCCAGCCTCCAGTGGAGGGTTCAGGAGGAATTTTATGCCTCTCTCCCATCTACTGTAGCAGGAGCTGAGTTTTGGTGAGGATCCAGCCCCTTGGCTCGGCTATGACCAGCAGCAGCATGGCCATGGATTGTGAGAGGTGCCAGTGCCACAGCGAGGACAAGCACACCGCCATCCTCTACACCCTCCTCAGCCAGAACCTCAGCCACAGCCCGGTTCAGCAGCGCTGCCTCTGCCACCAGCGCCGCACCGTCTGCCTCCGCACGCCCCACGTCACCTGCCAGGCAGCCTCCAACGTGCTGGTAAAGACCATCAGCTTCATGAAAAACCTCCCTTCCTTCAACCTGCTGCCCCGAGAGGACCAGCTCCTGCTGCTGGACAGCTGCTGGGTCCCCCTTTTCCTCCTGGGGCTGGTCCAGGAGATGGTGACCTTCGAGGTGATGGAGACCCCAGCCCCCAGCATGCTCAAGAAGATCCTCCTCAATGGGCAAAGCAAACGGCAGGAGCCTGAGTGGGCACAGCCCACGCTGGCGGCAGTGCAGCGGCTGCAGTGCTGCCTCAACACCTTCTGGAGCCTGGACCTGAGCCCCAAGGAGTATGCCTACCTGAAGGGAGCCATTCTCTTCAATCCTGGTGAGTGCTCAATGCTCATGGCTCTGCCCACTGGTGGGAGAGCTCACCCTGTTCCCATCGGCATCTCTACATGTACTGCTTGGCTTGGGGGCCCTCAGATCATCCCATTACCTCATTCTTAATGCTCATGGCTACCGAAAGTGCCAGGAAGCAGGGAGGAGGGATGTCAGAGAGCTTTGCCAGCCCTGCATGCACTAAAGCACCTCTGGATTGATGTACAGCAGTAGTTTACCCAGTTAATTACTTTTCCTCCTTCAAACAGCAGCCCTAGAATAGCTACAACTCCATAGTGCTGCATACACCTTATTAGTATGGCCTTGGAGATCCCTTCTGAGAAATAGGGAACCTGGGATGGGCAAAAGCTGGGGTGCTTTTCCAGCCTCCTTCATCTCCATCTTTTCCCCTGTCCTTGGCAGATGTCCCTGGGCTGAGGGCCTCCCTGTACATCGAGAGCCTGCAGCAGGAAGCCCAGCGAGCGCTTCAGGAGGTGCTGCAGCCCCTGCACCCCGAGGACCAGGGCCGCTTCGCCCGCATTTTGCTGATTGCCTCCACCTTGAAATCCATCCCTCCTGCCCTCATCACGGATCTCTTCTTCCGACCCATCATCGGCAACGCGGACATCATGGAGCTCCTTGCCGAAATGCTCTATGAGATAACGGGCAGGCAGCTGGCTCCTGCGGTGTGCTGAGGAGCCACGCTCAGCCCCCAGCCCCACGGGTGCTCCCCACACCTCGCCAGGCAAGGAAAGTGCATCTGGGAGCAGGGATTTAGCCTTGGACTCTGCAGGGATTGCAGTAGGGATGAGGCAGGAGGATTCTGCCAGGCTGCAGCAGAGCAGGCAGAGAAACTGCTCCAGTTCAGCGGGTGTTTACAGCAGCCCCTGGTCTCCGTTTCAGGCGCAGGCACCTGTGAACAGAGCATGGAGCAGGGCAGGTTAGAGCCCAGCCTGATTTTTACTCAATGAATCCTTGATCCCATTGAAATCAATGTGCATTTTGCTGTTAACTCCAAGAGATGTTTGTCCTCAGCTAACAGCTTGATTCTGGGGTGTTGAGGCATGTCCTCAGCATCGCTTCCCGATCACAAACATGGTGGGATTAGGTCTGGGTGAAGTCTTGCTCTGTTTATTGTGCTTGAAATCTTAGAACTATTCATGAAAGATTGTCCTAAGGCACCAAAAGGGGAAAAAACAATATTAGATCTTGCAGGATGTGCAGATTTCCCTCTCTGTCTTAGACTCTATCTTTTCTCTTTAACACCATGAAATGCCACAGTGGGTTACTAAGGGCCAGTGAGCAAACCCCGAGCTGCAAACACTGTGGAGCTGAACTGAGCTGCTTTAGCAGTTGAGCCAAAGATCCCTCGTTGGAGATAGAGCCTGGAGAGCTCATTCCTCCTGCCTGCAGCTTCTGCCACAAGTTAGATGTCAGTATTTTATATGGAAACAGTCTGGAGTTTGTATATAAGTTGTAATAAATTATTTTTTTAATAAAGGGTTTTATGTTTTGGAGCATGGTGGTGACTTGTTAGAGCTGGGTGCCATTTCTGAGGGAGGCTGGCATGGAAAGGATGCTCCAATGGAAAGGGAAATAGAAATACAGAAATCTATCTGCCTTGCTATGGGGAGGGAGCGCTGTGATGGGACACAAGGAATTCACCGTTCTCCAGGTGCTGAGCCTCACCCAAGGCTCCCGGCCCACTGGTGCTGTCAGAAGTGGGTGCTCTGACTCACCTGGATGCACACGCAGCTGCCAAGAGGCTCAAACGCCAGCCCCGTGGCCGTGCCCGGCCCAGATGAGGGTTGGGTGAAGCCACACGAAGCCTCCCCACTCCTGCCCATGGAAACACCTCGAGCCCTCTCACCGGTGCCGCTCAGCAGAGACGGAGGCTTCCAAGGTGATCTCAGCCCCATGACAGCCGTTTTCCATGGGGCAGGGAGGGCGTGAGTCACCGGATGAGGCCCACACCAGCCACGGGCAGCCCCGCGCCCGGTGACACGTGTGTGAGTCACGGCACGTGGGTGCCAGAGCTACCCGGAGCCAGGCGCAGGGCAGAGCCCCCGGTGCCTCCATCGTGCCCCCGGGGCAGGGATCGCTGTGCGCTGCCCTGTCTGCTGTGACACCCCCCTGTGTCAATGCACATGGAGCAGGCCTGATGCTATGGTGGGACACATGGCACTGGGGCTTCAGCAACAGAGAGAACCCCTTGGATGGGGCTACACTGCATGGCATGGGGGGCTTGGAGACCCTCAGCGCCCTGACACCCCCATGGCTTGTGACCCCCACTTCGGCTTGGGGCCCCCCCCAAGAGCTTGGGGTCCCCCAGACCCCTCCTAACACCTCCTGGCCACCAGGCGGCGCCCACTCCGCGCTTCAGCAACTGACGTCATCAGAGCGCGCCGTGCCGGCTGGGCAAGATGGCGGCGCCGGTCGGTAATGGCGGCGCCGCTCGGTACTGCCTGGTGAGCGGCATCCCGGCCTCGCTGCGCTCCGCACAGCTCCGCGCCTACTTCAGCCAGTTCCTAGAGGCCGGCGGCTTCCTCTGCTTCCATTACCGGCACCGCCCCGAGCGCCCGCCGGCGGGGAGCGGTGAGGAGGCCGCGGCGCCGCCGCGCACTTGCTCCTGCCTGGTGGCCGTGCAGCCCGGCCGCGCCCGCCGCTTCGTCCGCATGTACTCGGGCAAGCGGTGGGTCGGGCCCGGCGGTGCCTCGCTGCCCGGCCGCTGCCTCATCCGCAGGGTCCGCTTCAGCCCCGGCACAGGTACGAGCACCGGGAGGGGAGGGGAGGCCGGGTCGGGTCGGGTCGGGTCGGGTCTCTCCTTATGGGCCTGGAGGGCCCGTTGGGCTCCCTGCGGGCGCCAGCCTGAGTGTTCAAACCCTTCACTGGGCTTCCTTAAGGCATTAAATCCTTTCTGAAGTAAACAGAGTCATTTTGGAGCCTGCTTATCCCTCTCCTGGCTGGGAGGGATGTGATTTACCCCTCTGTGGCAGTGTGTTCCCTCACAAAGCAATTCCTTCCCTCCTGCAGGCACAGAGACATCTCCCTGCTGCGGGGATGGGGACAGACCGGCTGCAGGGGACTCTATTGCTGAAGCAGACTTGAAGCGGCTGCCTGAGTTCAACCCTCCTTCCTTCATGCCTTATGGGAACGTGGGCACCCCCCTGAAGGTTTTCCTGGAGCTGATCCGGGCCTGCAGGCTGCCTCCCTGGATTATCAAGAAGTTGCAGCTGAATTTCCCAAAGACTGGCTCATGCCATCGGTATGGGAACGTGCCTTTTGAATACCGGAACACTGAGACAGTTATAGAAGAAGAAAGAGTTTACACTGCTACAGGGGATGAGATCACAGAGGATGAGGGGCCTGTGGCAACATCTGAGGTGATTCACCCAGCCCGTGCTGAGGAAGATGAGGAGGGGCAGGAGAAGGAGGAAGAGGAATTGCACTCGGATGATGTAAGTGGATGTTTCTAGCACCATCCAGAGCTGTCCATTGCAGCTGCACAGCTGTGCCAGTACAGCTCTCAGGTGCCAGTACAGCTCTCAGAGCTCGCTTTTTATCTTTCAGTTGTATAAATTGCTTGTCTAAAAGCAGTGTTAACGTGAGGTTGTTCACCTCTTGGTGCACCGAGCCTCTTATAGTATGGACAATGTAAGCATTAACACCTCCAAAACTGCTTATCCAAATCAAGGTGGTTGTAGGGGTTGAGCCCAAAGGGTTCAGTCCAGATGAGCAGACACAGGAGGAGGCTGGTGCTACAGGAGCAGATCCCTGCCCTGCTGCGCAGCAGGTTGGCCCGGCTCTGCTGTTGCTTGTAAATGAGATTTGGGAGCACATTTATGTGCTGGAAACGATGCATGGAGCTATACAAATGGCTGACCTTGATTGCTCCTGCACTGAAGTTAGTCATTCTGAGAAAAATGGCTTTCATGACAAAGACTCCTAGAAAACTGGGCTGGACAGGCTCTCTGGAGACTTTCTCCCTTCTCTCCACCTGACAGACGCCGGTCTAGCCTGTTCTCACAGCCCTCTGTTATTACAGAGCCAGCACAATCCTGAGGCAAGCCATTCCCGTTCTTTGCTACACCAGAATTACCTTAGATGCTGAATCTTTGCTGCAGTTTTATGCCATTAGGTTCTCCTAGCAACAGCGGACACAGGGAACGCTTTGTTCCATGCTTTCCAAACCTTGTATTCAGTGGTTTCTTCTCCAGGCTAAACAGACTCCTGTAGCTGTTTCTCACAGGCTGCTTCCTGGATCTCCAGCCCTTCCTCAGCTGATTAATGTCTTCATTAGAGGACTCTACCCAGAAGTGGGCAGGCAGCAGTAAAGCTGTCAGTCTGCTCTGTGGCCGTCCCAGTGAGCTGCTTCCCTGGAACCAGCACAATCTCTTTAGGGATCAACATGAGTGGAATTAATTTGTTGCTAGTGCTGACTTTCTGTCCAACACACCTGCTCCTTACATGGGCATCTTTGTGTTCCAGAGGGAGTACGCTGCTGAAAGCATGCTCTGAAGTGGGTGTGATGTGGTATTTTTCACCACTTCTCTCTGCTGACTCTGAAGATGGCATTAGTCAAGGGAATGAAGTCATCAGTGCTGGTCGTGTTAGTGCCTGAAAGCAGCAGGCTGAGACGAGCTCTGTTGACAAAGCTGTTTCATAGGGAAGGTGCAGTGAGGGTGAGGGAAATGGGGGAGGCCGAGTGCCGTCTGGCACCCACCTTTCTCCACCTCCTTTGCAGGACAATGATACCTGTGAGGAATGGGAGCGCCACGAGGCTCTGTACGAGGACGTGACCAAGCAGGACCGTGTGGAGGAGAGGCTCTTTGAAGAGGAGATTGAGCTGAAGTGGGAGAAAGGCGGCTCTGGCCTTGTCTTCTACACAGATGCTCAGTACTGGCAGGAACAGAATGGAGGTAATGTTGGTGTTTGTGTCACTGAGCCACCATGAGCTGGGGGGGCCTAGACCTGCAGGTAAATCAGGTGTGACCCCATAGGAACACTCCACATCAGCTGCAGATGTGGGTATCTTGCCATTGCTTTTTAAACTTTCCCTCAATCCCAAAACCTGCAGTGGTTCAATCCAGTCACCAGAGACCCCAGTGGTCGTGCTGGAAGCCCCTTGTGTAAGCACTGTGGTGTGCAGAGCTTCTAATACCGTTTCCTTCCCATTTTGTTAGAGAGAACAGGGATCTGGGCCACCATCAAACAGCTCTTCTGTGTCAGGCTTCCACAACTGTCCCCAAAACTGGTGTTCCCTTTCTCTTGGCAGACTTCGATGAGCAGACTGCAGATGACTGGGATGTGGACATGAGCATCTACTATGACAAAGGTATCTTGAGCTGAACACCCCCCCCACCCCCAGGAAACCAGGGAGGTTGGGAAACTCTGACCCTGCAGAATTTCTGCAGTGAGGAATTCTTTGGCTTTGTCATGCTTTGAAAGCGTCCAAGACGTCAGTGTACATCAAACAGCGTTTCTTCTTGTCTGGCACTGAGAGCTGCCAAACAGAACAGGTTCTGCCTCCTTGTTGCGTGCTGCTCTGGGGGAAATGATGGTAGTGAACAGCTTTCCTAAGCTGTGCTGCTCTGACTCTTGCTTCTTTCTCCCTAGATGGAGGTGATAAGGATGCTCGGGACTCGGTCCAGATGCGTCTGGAACAGCGACTCCGGGATGGTTTGGAGGATGGGTCTGTTTCAAGGCAGCAGATTGGAGCCTTTGAGAGATACACCAAGGTGAGCCCTGGATACATGCTCAGGAGCTGATGGGGCAGGGCAGGAAGTGGCAGCGCTTGTGGGTTAGGGGTTGGAGAGGTCTTAGGTGTGAGGAAGGGGCAGAGCATTCTGCAGACAATGAGGGGGGGCTTTGTCCAGCAACTCTGTGATGGTTTTTATCCTTTCTCCCAGGGCTTTGGCAGGAAGGTGCTGGAGCAGCAGGGCTGGACGGAGGGGCTGGGGCTGGGGAGCAGCAACTCCGGAATGGCTGAAGCTCTGGATAATGAGGGTCAGAACCCCAGATGTAAGAGGGGGCTGGGGTAAGTACCCAACCATGCCCTGCTGGGTGGTGTAAGAGCTTCTGCCTGAGCAATCTGGGCTGACACAGCAGCTAACTGGCTGCAGAAGGAACAGGGATCTGCCTTTGTGCAGCTGGTGGCAGGGCCTGCCACAGCACCCCAGAGCCAAATATGCTGCTGTTCTGATGGGTCCAGTGCTCCTTACAGGGGTATGTGGTGTTAGAGTAGAACTGGAATCATTTGTAGGTTTCTACAGCACACAAACACAAAGGGAGAGCTGTCCTTGAGGACTGAGAGTCACCTCTGCTGTGGTATTCTGGCAGGGAGAGCCCCAGCTACCTGAGCTGTAGCCATGCACCTCGGCCCTGCCCTCTCAGGGGAAGGGGTTGGGGGCTTTGTGTGGTGTTGTGCTTCACTATGAGGGCTGGCTCTTGCTCTACAGTAATCTCACAGCCAGGAATAGGACAAGAATCCTTATTACAAGGACACCTCTCCCGTGCAGGAGGTGAAGGAAAGGAGCTGGGAAGCACAGGGGGACCAAACGCTCAGCAATGTGGGACCAAACGTTTCCTGCTTCCTTCTAGGTACCATGGGGAGAAACTGCCAACCTTCATCAGGGTGAAGAAGCCCCGGCAGGACGCTCCCATCCTCATCTCAACCATCTACGATGACCCTGACCCAAAGGACAGTGGTGACCAACTGCTCAGACGCCAGCCACCCACTGCCATGAAGTACAGGCAGCACATGGCATTTGTCCGGGCGTCCCATGGCGCTCTGCAGAGCTTCAGTGCCCAGTCACACTGAGCAGAGACTGTCACAGAGCCTTTGGGATGGTTCCACTCCTGCTGAGCACAGGCTGGCTCCTGGTCTCACGTTTGGAGCAGGGTGTTTTTATATTTATTTTTGGAAGAAATATACACTTGTAACAAATTGTGTTGGTGGGGTTTTTATCCCCTAATTTAACCCTCCAGTGAGGGAAAATAGCACTGATCCTGTCCAGTGGGAACTGGGAAGGGTGTTGCATTTCTGACTGGTGGTTTAAAGTTACTGCTAATGCCTGGATCAACCAAGCCTATGTGCTAGGTGAGCCTGACAACCCAAAACTCGTAGTTCATGGCTGTCTGAGACCCAGAGAAGGACAAGTACAGACAGGGCGAGCCATGGCACGGTAACTGTCCTGCTGAAAGCTTGCTGCTGGCCCACAGCTTCGCGTTGCTTGGGTGTGGTGATCCCACACTCCTGGGAGAAACTCATCGGGATGAAAGACTTGTCCTGGCAGCCTCCAGAGGAATCCTGCGGGAGGCGTTTCCCTGCGGTCGGGCGTAGCGGGTGCTTCCTTCCACAGCTCTCTGAACATGCTCTGCCCCGTTTTCCTGACGCAGGCACTCTTCTTGGAGGCGGGGGGGTGGGAAGCCTTCGTCCTAGTGACCCAGTACTGGAGGGTTGAATGGGGATGGGTGGACACTCTGCTGGCAGGCTGCCCTTGACCTTCGTTAAGGCTCTCCCTGTGTCGGGTGGGATGCAGGGGGTGATTTCCCCTTCTCTTGGGGCAGACGTGGGGTTTGGGTTGTGCTGGAGGGACAAGGGCCGGCGCCGGGACTCGAACCCACGACCCCACGCCCTGATGTCGGGATGCAGGCCCGGGGTCGAGTCCCGGCGCTGGAGGAGCTCCGCGTCCCTCCGGCCGCTAGAGGGCGCTGTGCTGGCAGCGGCCGTTCCTACCCCGGAACGCGGCGCTCGGGGCCTGCGGACACCCGGACCCAGTGCCTGGAGCACCGGCGGCGGTGAGCGGCCTACGGGCACCGGGGGGGGGGGGGTTACCGGGGCGGCTGCAGGGCCATGGGCCGTTAAGGGACCTGAGCAGGGACAAGGGATGTGGAAGGGAACGGGGGTTGTTGGGGAGAAGGGGGAACATGATGGGGGATAAAGGGACACGGGGAGAAGAGGATGCGGAGCATCGACGAGGGGGAACGGCTTTAACGTGCCGGAGGGGAGATTGGGATGAGCTCTGAGGCGGAAGCGCTTCCCCGTGAGGGTGCGGGAAGGAGCGTGCAGGAGAGGGGATGTGGTCGCTATGGGGAGCAGGGAGGGAGGGAGGGAGGGAACCTGTGCCCCTGCCACATCAGGAAGGACCCCATTACGGTGAACCTCACCCCACAGGCGGGCAGCAGGGAGGGATCTGCCCCCGCAGCCACAGCCCTGTGGGTCTGCCTGGGGGGGGTGTGCTTGTTTCCAGCTACAGCATCACCAGCGGGGGGGTGACAGGGTAGCGTCCACCCCGGCGTGGGGCTCAGCAGTGCAAGCAGGGACACAATGACCCTTCCCCTTCCGTTCCACGTCCTCCCTGGGTGTGAATTCCAGATCTCCCATTCATATAACTGCAAATAAACCGGTAAACGGTGGATTTTCCTTCTGCAGTCGCCAGGAGATGAGCCAACATGTCTGAGGGCAGCAAGGGGAGCTCGCTGGCCTTTGGCCAGGTGGTCATCGGCCCTCCGGGCTCTGGCAAGACAACCTACTGCCATGGCATGCAGCAGTTCATGGGCAGGCTGGGGCGCAAGGTGACGGTGGTGAACCTGGACCCTGCCAACGAGACGATGCCCTACGAGTGTTCCGTGGACATCGCCGAGCTCATCACCCTGCCCGACGTCATGGAGAGCCTGAAGCTGGGGCCCAACGGGGGGCTCATCTACTGCATGGAGTACCTGGAGGCCAACTTCGACTGGCTGCAGGAGAAGCTTGCTGCGTTCAGGGGTCACTACTACTTGTTTGACTGCCCGGGGCAGGTGGAGCTCTACACCCACCATGATGCCCTGAAGAACATCTTCGCACAGTTGGTCAAGTGGAATTTCAGGGTAAGTTTGGGGCTCCATAGGGCCCCGTGAGCTTGTGCAAAGGGCTCAGAAGCTGTACACTTCATAGGAAGAGCTTTTGATTGTGGGGACTAACAACTGTTTTCTTTCCTGACCTGTTTGGTGTCTTGAGTGAAATGGCTTTATCAGGGCAGGAGGGGGATTTCACCCCATTTTATGCTCAGAGGATTGGCAAAAGAGTGGCTTGGTCAGGGCATTTAATCATAGAATCCCAGACTGGTTTGGGTTGGAAGGGACCTTAAAGCTCATTCAGTCTCAACCCCCTGCCATGGGCAGGGACCCCTTCCACTGGAGCAGCTTGCTCCAAGCCCCTGTGTCCAACCTGGCCTTGAGCACTGCCAGGGATGGGGCAGCCACAGCTTCTCTGGGCACCCTGTGCCAGCGCCTCAGCACCCTCACAGGGAAGAGCTTCTGCCTAAGAGCTCAGCTCAGTCTCCCCTCGGGCAGGTTCAGGCCTTTCCCCTTGGCCTGGCCCTACAGGCCCTTGTCCCAAGCCCCTCTCTGTATTTCTTGGGGACTTCCTTTGGGTATTGGAAGACTGTAACAAGGCCTCCCTGGAGCCTTCTCTTCTCCAGGCAAGACCGCAGTGGGATTATCATGAACAAAGGCATGGGTTCCTTCCTCACACGCTCACACTGTGCTCCAGGGTCCTCTCCACAGACCTTGTGTGTTACATCAGAGCGGGTGCTGTGTTTCAGAGGTCGATGTGTGCACTGGGCGAGCAGGGATCCTTTCCCCTGCACTGCTCACAGTGTCCCGTGCAGGAGCCCACCCCGGCTCTCCTGCAGCCAAGCCCCAGTGCTCTGCACGCTGTAGTACGTGCTCTGTGCTTTCTTGCACAATGGAAGATGCAGATGAGGAAGCACAGGTGAGAAGAGTCGCACAACCAAGCGAACTTGCTTACGTTGCATTTGCTTTGCATTTGGGCCGAAGCATGAATGTGCAAACCATGTGTGGTGTGAGCAAGAAGGGCAAGTTCATTTGCTTGAGAATGTCACTGGGAATCTGCCCATTAGAGATGAATAAATGTGCATGCAATTGGAGTTGCTAAAAAAAGAGAGTTGCATTGCTGTGGTGATGCTGGCCCCAGTGCCTGCCAGCTTGAAACTGGCTCTTTTCTGCTGCAGAAGCATAGCTTGTGACTCAGCCACACTCAACTACAGAGCCCTGGCTTTGAGTAACATTGTGTAACAGGCAGTAACTTAACAGAGATCTCAGACCACATTGTTACAGCTACACAAAACGCCAGGGATCAACCTGCTCATTAATGTAATTATTAATTATTATTGCAAACCACAGGGCAATTGGTTCTCCCAGCAGAACGTGGTGTGCTGCAGTCACCGCTCCTGAGCATTCCTGGGGGGAAGGTGGACATCTGGAAGCAGTCGTGGTGTTCAGGAGAGTTAACCCCAGCTCCCAGTACCCAAGTTCAGACAGGCATGGAAACTTCAGCTGCAAAGGAAGAAAAGGGCAGCAGTTGCAGATTTAAGTGGTTTTTCAGTAGTGCTGGTGGGGCTCACACCCCTCTAACCATCCCTACAGCCCTTTCTGAGCAGCAGCACCCTGAGTTCTGAATGCCCAAGGTGGGATGGGAGTGTGGTGGGATAGACTTGTCTATGTGAGTGCGCTCCTATGTGAGGATGTTTTCTATTCAGGAGGTAGGTGGTAACTTTCCCTCTATGGGTGTCTATGTGGTTCTAGTCAGGTCTTGAACAGGTTGGCCTATAGCCACTCCATCACGGGTCTGACCTGGTGCTGTCCCTCTCTGCCTTTGCTGACCAGTTGGCTGCAGTGCACTTGGTGGATTCTCACTACTGCACAGACCCTGGCAAGTTCATCTCTGTCCTCTGCACCTCACTGTCCACCATGCTGCACGTGGAACTGCCCCATGTCAACGTCCTCTCCAAGATGGACCTGATTGAGCAATATGGCAAACTGGGTAAGCGCCTGGGAGAGAGCCACACATGGGACTGGGCTGTGAGGGGTACAAAGGAGGTGTTCAGGGATGTATCGCTGGGAGATGGATGGGGAACTGGTGTGAATCTCACTGGGTTCTTCAATTTACAAGCTGCCTTCAGAGCTTCTTGGTGTTTCCCTGCAGCTTTCAACCTGGATTATTACACAGAGGTCCTGGACCTCTCCTATTTGGTTGACCATTTAGCTTCTGACCCCTTCTTCAGAAACTACCGCCGCCTCAATGAGAAGCTGGTGGAGGTGATTGAGGACTACAGCCTGGTGTCCTTCGTTCCACTCAACGTCCAGGTGAGGAGGCAGGAGTGGGGCAGAGAGAACAGGGAGCACTGGGTGTTTGGTAGCAGCCAGGTTATGTCTGCTTAGAGCCATGAGAGCTGAAAGAAGCTTGGGGATTGAGGAGGAGCTGTGGAAAGACTTGGGGATGGAGGAGGAGAGTGAAACACTTGTGAGTGATCTGTGGCAGCCAAGGGAAAAGGCTGATGAGCTGAGGGCTATGTAGGCCTTGTGTGTATCCTGGGGTCCCGCTGCATTCAGCTCTTCTGCACCTGCGGTTCAAATCTGGACAAAGTATTACCCAAAACGTTAAATTAGGGAGCCTAAAATGATTAGAAGACTGGGAGGAATACATTTGGGAGGAAGGGCTGCAAATGTTCATCTGGTAGCTTGCAGCGCTGTCAACAAGGGCAGATGGGCTGAGAGGAGAGGTGATGAAAGGGAGGGAGAAGGTGGAGGGTGTCAGCCCATCATGTATTCGGGCTCCGCAGTGGGTGCCCCTGTTTGTCCTCTGTCCCTTTGTTTGCGCCCCTGGGGAAGGACCTGTCTTGCCTCAGGGGAAGGACCAGATTCCCTGTGTGTCATCTCCCTCCCTTCCAGGACAAGCAGAGCATGAGGCAGGTGATGCAGGCAGTGGACAAAGCCAATGGCTATTCCTTTGGAGACCAGGAGCACAGGAGCCTTGAAGCTCTGATGTCGGCAGCAGTGGGAGCCGATTTCCACTTCACTTCGTATCCTTCACCACTGACCCTCTGTTGAGTTTTAGTTTGTTCTTCCTTGGGGAAGGACAAACTGGAGGTGTGGCTGGCAGTTTGCAGGCCCTGGTTGTTGCCAGCATCATCTGATGCTCTTTGGTGATACATATGCAGCGAGTTGGTAGGGCTCAGCCCTGGCCTTACAGACAGTGTCCATGCCAAAGCCACCACAGTTGTTGCTAATTGATACTGTGAATGTGGGGAGACTCTTTTGACAACTTTCTTACACCAACTTGGAGTGGTTCATTCCATCTCATCCAAACCATACAATTGATTCTCCTGTACTTGTCAGGTCTGGGATCAGCCAGAGCCAGAAATAACTCGGGTGCTGTGTGTTGCTGCCAGTACTGCCGTCTTCCTGCCACCCTTGGGGCTAATATGGGGCTGGTTCCTCACTGAGAACGTTAAGAGCTCCTTGCAGAAGGGAGTGTTTGAACCCAGCCCCTTGTTTTCCTTAATTACTGCCTTATCAGCACACTTGCAGTACAGGAGAGGTATGTGCAATCTCAGGACAAAGCTGTGGAAGAAGAAGTGATGGATCTGTAACACACCCACCCCTGCCATGGCTGCTCCCTGTTTTGACACCTCTCCTTTTCCTACCAGGAGCTTAAGGGATCTCCGGGCTGTGTGAGTCAGATGAAGTGAAAGCTTTTCCAGGCAGAGCTCTGGCTGCTGGACTCCCTCTCTGTAAGGGTTTGAGCTCTTGTGCTTCAGCCCTACTGCATGGAGCAGGTGATGGAAAGCCAAGTCTTTCCTTAGGAACATGAGAGATTTAGGCAGGTGAAGGCACGGATAGCAGGGGAAGAGAAGCAAGATAAGGGGACTGACCTCAGCTATGCCTTCTCCTACCCATCATGATCAAGAGAGATCCAGAGGAGGAAAACCAGATTGAGAGGTCACTTCTGCAGTGAGACTTGAAGCAGAAGTCTGGGGTTTACTGCACATGAGGAGCATGTACAGGCCTCGTGCTCAGAGTAACCAGGCTGAGAAGCCTCCAACCTGTCCCAAGGAGGACAGAGAAATGGTTGTTTTTCTTTTTTTTAAGTAATGATGGACTCTTTCTTAATAAAACACTCCTTCATCTCGCTTTCATCTCCGCAGTTTGCTGACCCTGACTAAATAAAAGCAAGAGTGCTCCAAAGCCCCAGGCTAGAAAGCCTCTGGTGGGAATGTCCAGTTCTCAGGTAGATCATCAAGTGTTTGCTGGAGGGAGGGAGGGAGGGTGCCTGTGGGATGTGAAAGCAGGTCACTCCTGCGCTCAGCCAGGGCGCTGATGGTGACACACAAACTGCAAGCTCTGCTCTTGGAGGCTTTCGATTAAGACAGAGCCTGTGTGATTCAGCAGGAGGTTGGAGCACGTGCTCTGCACGCAGGGCTTTTACCAGGAGCTGCCTTGGCAGCCCTCAGCCACCTCCTGCGCTTGCTTCACATCCCGAATCCTGGTGCTTCACCTCCTTCCCATGTCATTCCTTCCTGCCGGTCTGCTGCAGCTCAGCCTCCTGTGCCACCTACCCTGCATCTACAGCAGCTCAGCTCCATCAGGGCAGTGAACTGCAAAGGTTGGGTGGTGAAAAGTGAAGCATCCACACTGGGCAGTGCCTCCTGGATGGGAGCGAGCGAGACTCCCGGCTCCCAGCTCATGTGCAGACTCAGCATCACCTCTTGCCCAAGACCTTGCATAAAACAAGGCAGCTCTTCCTCCCAGGACAGTCTGGTCCTTAGCAGGGTGGTTGCAGACTCAGTCTAAATGTGAGCAGCATCTGGCTCAAGGACTGCAGCCAGGCAGGGAATTAAACCCGGGTTTTGCTGCAGCTCACAGCTTTGGGGTCAGGATTTGGAGACAAGGAGGAGCTGAGGGAGGAGAAAGAGGGCAAAGCCATTTGCTTGCATGTGCACACACACAGCTCATAATGAAAGACTCCACTGAGGTTTCAAATATAGAAGGCCAATTCCTCTTGGCTGTCAGCACCTGAGCTCTTTTCCCAAGAGCCCAGGGGCTTCCCTGGGTATTCCTGGTTGAAATCCAGCAGCTGCATTTCAGTGCTCTCTGGGGCTGATGTTCTGGAAGCCAATGCAACCATAACCAGAGCTCAGATTCCACCCTTGCCTCGTGGCCCTGCCCCAGCTTTGAGCCCTGTAAAGGGGTGAGAGATGCGATCATAGAAATGTGAGGGTTTATGGCTGCTTTTTGTGGGCTTGCTGAGATTTGGTGGCTTAAAAGGGGATCCTCGGGTCAAGCTGGAGTTAGGCCAGAGCCATCAAAGCCTGCGTGGCTGTTTGGGTGCTTTATGTTAATACCCAGGCAGCATCTGCAGCCCTGGCCTTGGAGAACGTGGAAATCAGAGGTGGCAGAAGCATCCCAGCCCAGGGAACCTTTGCTGTGTCCAAGCCAGGGAACGCTGAGGTCTTGCAGAGCCTGAGAAGTGCTGGGTTTCAGCACCAAGGGGCTCTTTGCAGCCTGGGGTTGGAAAGCAGGGGCTGAAGCAGGGCTGAGTCTCCCTGGTCGGGGTGAAGCAGGAACGGGCTCTGGAGCAGCGGGGATGGACGAGATCCCGGGTGCAGGATCCTGCACCCACATCCCCACGCTGGGAGGGGAAGCACCTCGCCGAGGCTCCCAGGGCTGAGGGAGGGAGGGAGGGAGGTGACACTTTGGCTCCTGTCGTTCCCGTTGAGCAATGAGCTGGGGCGAAGGGCCAGGATTAGTCACCCCAATGAGGCACATCCCTGGGAGGGGGGCCAGGCTTTCTGCAGAGCTGGTCCTACCTCTGCCAGCCCCTCCAAGGCCGGCACCGGGAGAGCCTGAGCCTACCCTGACCATGTGTGGGACCTCCTGGGTGAGCCTGAAGCCGGAGGTTTGAGCAGGATGGAGGGTTTGGGCTTTGGTTGCAGCCACAGAGATGGGGTTTTCCGTGCCCCCATCACCTTCCAGCCCCAATTCCTGCCTTGTGGCCAGGCGGCCACGCTGCAGCCCTGGTTGTACCCATGGGTCACCCCATGGCAGGCACAAGGTCCCTCTCCACAGCCCGAAGCGCAGCGTGTGCATCAGGACCAGTCAGGCCGTGGGCACCAGGATGCCTCGCAGTGTGGGTCAGGGCTCGGCCCCTTGCTGGGTGAGATGGGCTGAAACCCAGAGGCTGAGCCCAGTCTGAGCCCACACCCCAGCCCCGGGGAAGGTTGGGGCGCTGCTGGCTCCATCACAGCACTCAGGGGCCAGCGCTGTCAGCACCCAGCACCGGCTCCCTTGGGTGCTGCCACACCAGGGCGGTGCTGGTGGCAGCTCAGCCTCAGCCAGGAGCCGGCCAGCCCTGGCCCTGGGGCACGAAGCCCTGTGGGGAGGTTGTGAGAGCCGGGGACAAGGGACAGCCCCAGCCATGGTCCTGCAGCCCTGGACCTGCTCCCAGTGCCTGGCTGGGGGGGTGGCTTCAGGGCAGGGGACAGTCCCGTGTCCCTTGTCCCTTTGCTCCGCTTGTGTTAAAGTCAATCAAGCAAACATAAGAGCTTTGCTGTGCGCCCCTTCCAGGGATGCTGAAAGCATCCTCCAATGATCCCCAGCCATGGGACAAGGATGGGGATCAGAGTCCCAACACTTGGCAGTGCTCAAGGCCAGGTTGGACACAGGGGCTTGGAGCAAGCTGCTCCAGTGGAAGGGGTTGGAGCTGGAGGAGCTTTAAGGTCCCTTCAACCCAAACCACGCTGTGGTTCTCTGATCCTACACGAAACCGGACCCAGGAGGACCCGCAGCAGCACAACCCCATCACGGGACCTGCTTGGGGGCCCTGGGGCCTCCTCCCAGCCCCACAGAGCCGCCGGACCGGCTGCGGCCGGGGAGCATCGTCCCACACGGCAGCAACCAGGGCGCTGTTGAAATCGGCCCTGTCCCGGGAGGCTGGCGGGAGCCGCGCTCTCCCCCTGCCCCCGGGAGCCCCAGCGGGAGCCGGGGCAAGGCCACCCCGTTCCTCCCCTTCCCTGGCACTGGGTCCGTGCCCCCCCTCCGGTTCAACCAGCCCGGGCTGCCCCGTGTCCCCGGTGCGGGGGTCAGGGGCAGGGGAGCCCTGGGCTCGTTCTTCACGTCGGGTTGGGTAATTACAGACTGGGGCTGGTTCCCAGGCTGGGAGCGCTCGGGGCCGGGTGGAGGCCAAGCGTCCCCCTCAACACCGCCGGGGGGTCCCCCAAGCCCCAATGGACCAAAGTGATGCAGGGATGGGGATGGGGATGGGGATGGGGATGGGGACAGGGCAGGGGATGGAGGGGGGGTGTGTGTGTGTTAATCCCTCTGGCTGGGCTCTGCTCCGGCTGATGACGAGTTCCCATCCAGGGCAAACAGGTTCTGGTTTGTGCAGCTCAACCTCCCACAGCAGCCAGCGTTTTCCCACGGCAGAGCCCTGCCGAACCTCATCACACACCAGGCCCAGCCCTGCTCCCGATGGGGCCTTGTGATGGGTCCCCCCCTTCAACCCCTGCACCCATTAACGTGAAGGGGGGGGGGGTCACTGCTTGTGCCTCAGCTTCCCCAGAGCCCAGGAGCTCCCAGCACCCCAAGAGCTGGGGTTTGGCCGTGCTGCCGTGTCCCTTCCATGTCCCTGCCGTGTCCCTGCCGTGTCCCAGCCATGTCCTTTCCATGTCCCTTCCATGTCCATGCCATGTCCCTGCCATATCCTTGCCATGTCCCTTCCGTGTCCCAGCCATGTCCTTTCCATGTCCCTGCCATGTCCCAGCCATGTCCTTTCCATGTCCCTGCCGTGTCCCTGCCATGTCCCTGCCATGTCTCTGCCATGTCCCTGCGTGTCCCTGCCGTGTCCCTGCCATGTCCCTGCCATGTCTCTGCCATGTCCCTGCGTGTCCCTGCCGTGTCCCTGCCATGTCCCTGCCATGTCTCTGCCATGTCCCTGCCGTGTCCCTGCCGTGTCCCTGCCATGTCCCTTCCATGTCCCTTCCATGTCCCCCATGGGGACCCCGCTGGACCGGGCCGGTTCATCCTCAGTCTCGGCACGTTTCCTCCCGGCATCCCGGCGTTTCCCATCAAAGGCCGGCTCCTGCCCATCCCTGCCGCGCTGGCTCTGATGAGCTCATAGCCCAGGGTGCCGTGCCTGCCTCGCACTGTAATTACCGCTCATGCCGGGACTCGCACCGGGATTGCGCCCCATGAGCTGCACCCAGCGCCGTGGCCGGGCGCCAGCGCCACAAGTGCTGATCCCAGCGCTCATCCCAGCGCGTCTGGGCCTTGGCGGGGGCGTCCCCACCCCGGTGACACCCCCAGGGCTGTCCCCACGGTGCTGCTTTTGGGGGGGGGCTCCTTGGGCAGAGCGAGGTGGGGGGGGAGCTGGTGATGGGGTTCGGGGCTCTGCGGGTTTCCAAGGGGAGGGACACTCGGTGTGGGATCAGGGACATGGGGGCACCCCATGGGGTGAAGTGGGGCTGCTGGAACCCTCACCCAGCACCCCCCATGGAGCCTTTCCGTGGGCTGTGGGGGGGCAGCCACCAAGGGATGGGGCTCACTGGGTACCCTGATGGGATGGGGCTGGAGGGGGGGGGATCGGGAGCAACCAAACGGGTGCTGCAGATCCCTCGGGACCCCACTGCTCCCCGGTGCTGGTGGGGCAGGAGGCGAAGCAGGAGCTGCCCGGACGCGTGCGCAGGGGAGAGACGAGGCAGACCAGAGGCAGGGGTGCAGGACACGGTTTATTGGAGGCTTTGGCAATTCACATCACCCCCCCTCCGGGATGGGGGGGCCT